AAGCACTCCAGCTCTGGCCAGACTCTGCGTAATCTGTGAGGAGCTTTTCTACCACCCACACCCTATGCAATTGCTCAAGAAAAGTCAAAAACAAAATTCCACTTTGTGTAAAGCACATCTTGGAACTAGTCAGGAAGAGGCAGCAGAGCAGCAAGCATTTCTGTCACTGCAGCAAGCATCCATCTACAATCTGACAGCATGCAGAAAGAAAAAAGTATGCCCAGTTTGAGAAAAATGCTAGAGAGCAATGCTAAGAAAAAGCCTCCTGTTTCTTGCTGAGCACCCACAGCGTCACAACAGAGTGGAGTTTCATTTTTTCTGCTGCGATTCACACCAAATAACATCAAACTACATACAAAACAAAGAGGTGCTGGGCATTACAGGCAAAAAAGAAAAGTCTGAGCTTGATGTGTTTCTCTCCAGCATTTTCTCACAATCTCCAATATTATTGTGACGCACAACACCAGAGAATATAATTGCTGTAGTGATTACTTACAGCCATTACATTAAGCTTTAAAATGCTCCTTTCAAATTGAACAATGTTTTTCAAAGTCAACAGCTGGCTCACAGCTTGAAAGCAACAGTTAAGATAAATTAAATAAAAAGGGTAATAAAATCACAGACTAAATTTAATTTCTGAAGCACATGCAAACTCCAGCAAAGGCTTTAAAATATCTTTTAAAAACATCCAGAGAAACAAAAGTCAACACAGCCAATAATTATACAGTGCTCATTAATAAGAATGTGATGTATGAACACATATTATTGTGTACACTTCTAAATATACTTAAAAGAGAGTACAAAAACAAATTCATGCAGCATTTATAGCCCCAGTCTAGGTGATAAATCAAACAGAGGTTTCAAATGAGTTTAGTAATTCTTGGGGGGAAGAAAAAAAGTGTTTATGTGTATATTCCCCTCATTGTATGTATGCATATATAACATGTGGTTTATAAAAATGATTTTCCCACCCTTAGGATAAAAAGGTGATCTGGTATATGCTCAAGATCAGTACAATGCCAGGAGCCTTTATCAACTCTTGAAATGAATTACTGGAATGATATGCAAGATTTGAATTTATAGAGAGCACAACTACACCTAAGTGCCAAGACACTTTTCCCTGGCCTGGTTTTCTGTTTGCCATTGCAATTCATAATTCAAATGGCCTCTGCTCTGCTGGCTGACAAAGAAGTGACAAAACGAAACATCCATTTGGATGAGGCAGGGAATCTTAAAGGAGTCATGCGCTGAGCTTCTTTCACACTTCTGTCAAAAAAGCTTTCCGCTTACCACACCTTTCCAAACAGGCTGACTAGCAAGCTCTCTTTGCTTCCATCCTTCATACTTTTTTACTGTTATTCAGCTGTTCAGTACTTTACATCCTATCACACTTCAAAAAGAAAATGACACAAGAATCAAGAATAAATATTCCACTTTCTTTATCACAACTTTTTTTTTTTTTTTTCCTTATCAGAAAGGGTATTTTTTCCCCAGTGCTCAAAAGATAGAAGAAATATCCTAAATCAGTTTTCCTTGTACCTCTTATAGTGGACAGCCAGATTTGGTGTCACAGTTTTACAACACACCTATAAGAGACCTGCCTGAAACAGGCAGGTATGTTCTCTGAGCTATACACCATGTTCCTTCCTTCCTTGTGGTTCATTCCTTGCAAGTAGCAACAGGAACTAAGACAGAAAGAAGAGACTGTCCAACTACTTTCCACAACAGGTGATGGCATTGGTGGACAAAGGAAGGGCAACAAATGTCATCCGCCTTGATTTATGTAAAGCTTTTGAAAGGGTTTCACACAACCTTCTTGTCCCCTGGAGCACTGCATTCAGCTCTCAGGGCTCCCAGCATAAGAAAGACATAGGCCTATTGGAACAGGTCCACAAGAGGCCACAAGGGATGATCAAAGGGCTGGAGCACCACTCCTATGAAGAAAGACTGAGAAAGATGAGGATGTTCCGCCTGAAGAAGAGAAGGCTCCAGGGAGACATTGCAGCCTTTCAGTACTTAAAGGGGGCTTATAGAAAAGACAGAGGACAACTTTTTACATGGGCAGATAGTGATAGGACAAGGGGGGTACAGCTTTAATCTAAAAGAGGAGAGATTTAGATTAGACATTAAGAAGAAATTCTTTACTCAGAGGGTGGTAAGGCACTGGAAGAGGCTGCCCGGAGAAGCTGTGGATGCCCCATCCCTGGCAGTGCCCAAGGCCAGGCTGGATGGGGCTTTGGGTGACCTGGCCTAGTGGGAGGTATCCCTGCCCATGGCAGAGGGGTGGAAACAGATGGTCTGTAAGGTCCCTTCCAACCCAACCCATTCTGTGATTCTACTTACTCTGGAAATCATTGGTACTACCTGTGTAGTAAAAAACACATTAAGCACACATCCAAAAGAATTACTTGAATATGTAAAAGAGGATGTATCCCATTAATCATAAGTAGACATCTCTGTGAAGACAGATTACACCAAATATTTTGCTACACTTCATGCGCAAGCAAGCACTCAGAACAAGAGGATGTGTTGGTTTATATTCAGTATGTCATTCACCTCACCTACACCTTGCCATATGAGGAAGAACTTCTTTACAGTTCAGGTAACAGAGCACTGTAACAGGCTGCCCAGAGAGGTTGTGGCGTCTCCTCCTTTGGAGATATTTAAAACCCACCAGGATGCAATCCTGTGTAACATGCTCTAGGTGACCCTGCTTGAGCAGGGAGGTTGGACTAGATGATCTCTGGATCTCTTCCAACCTCAACCATTCCGTGATTGTGATATATTTATCTGCCTAAAAGGCAAGAAGGTCATCTAAGGTAGTCTTTTAGCTTCCTTCTATAGACTGAGGAGAGAAACAGACACCCACATAGAGCAATTTACTCCACTTGCTTGTCCACCCTAACTACCCCATTTCAGGTTGGGAAGAATTCCTCTCTAAAGGCATCTCTCTCTCCCATTACTCAAGAGAGCCTAGAAGAACAGCTTAGACTGGACACCTCATGGAATAAAATTATCCCCCTCCTCCATCACACACACACACACCTAGGGTCCCCTAGGGTCCAGCTGAGACAACAGGAGGAGTACCTACTGCCATAAAGAATTTTGTAAAAATTTCTTGTAAAGATTTTTTGTTTCATTTAACATTGAAGAAGCTGTCAGAATATGTTTGCAAATATGAAGGAGATTCAACTGATATAAGCAAAAAGAGAAATAATTGAATTTTAAAAATAGTCTAACTTACAAAATTTCCATTCAGCAAAGGTAATTAAGGCTACATATGTAAGCAATACTAATAGTGAATATGTCTCATTTGCTTCTTAGCACTGCCACGTATGTCCCAGATGGATGTTACATAAGATTTTTGGAAAAAGAAGCATTTTCCAATAATTTCTGAAAGTAGAACTTGGTGTGCTTTTATAGCCTGCTCCAGAAAGAACATTGTGTGTCCTACACATACTGCAATGAAATGCACTCCAAAGCGCCAAGCAAAATGCCACCTTATCTCACTTAAAGCAATTTCATCTAGTAATATCAGAGAAATTATGACAATATGTTGTTCTACATGAAAGTACATGACAGCGCTATTTGTGAGACCTGGCAGCTGCCACTCTGAGCAGAGCAGATGGCAGTGATAAAAACACAATGCAGGGAACAGGTTGATAAAGACATATCCATCATTACACTTTTGCTTTACAGTTATGCTTGACTCCAAGATACAATCAAAATGCGTGGCTTTGTCACTCTTGAGCAGGAAGAATTTGCTTATCTGTGGAAAATAATTCTTGCGCAACAATTAATTCTCTATGTATTATTAATCAATATTATTCATCTCCTATCCAAAGGAGCAGGTAGAGGCAACCAGGAAGACATCCAAAATCTGTAAGTCTTATTATTATTTTGTTCTTTCAGAGGAAGAGACAACCATTCATCCTCTGTAATGGAAAATCAGAGTCAGTCATGATAACAAACAGTGCCATGGCAATTATCAGTTTACACTCTCACCAGAGGACCACAGGGCACATTTATTTATTTATTTATTTATTTATTTATTTATTTGGGGGAGGGGAGGGGGGCAGGGCAGCTGGGTGGAGGCTAGGAAGAGCATTAAGCGAATGTAGTTCTCATGGAAGGTATGCCAACAGTCCTACTCACAATCTATTTATCCTAAAACACACATGGCAGAGCAGCAGCAGCACCAGCCTTTCCTCCACTTCATCCCTGCGCCCACTGCTAACACTGACAGGCATCCTCTGCTGGGATGGGCAATGAAGGCTTACACCACTCAGGCCCTTCATGAGTGCATCTTCCCCGCTTAGACTCTTGCAGGGGATTACATATCCACCATCTCACACAAGCATCAAAATCACAGACATCAGTCACCATGGGCACAGCGCTAGTAGCCCTGACATGGCAGGTTGTGGTGCCTGCAGCAGCCCAGCAGTTTGTACGCTTGTGCCTGCCACCGGACACAAACCCACCTGAACACCCTTCTCTCATGCTGCAGAATGAACGAGCTCCAGGAGCCAGCTCTGCCTAGATCAACTGCTGGAAACAGATTCAGAGAAAAATGGCTCTGAGCAATGTTCACTAATGTTAATGAATAAATATTGTTAGCTGCTGTTAACTCCATTAAAACATTTGTACATATAAGGATTTCTTTTTAAATGGGCAAACTAATAAAACCAACTAGAATTTTAAGACACTCCACGAAGAAAACTAGATTGGATGTGTATATTAATACAAATAGCTGCACCAATCAATCACACGATTACTGAACTCCAGCAGGTTTGCAGGTGAAGGGGCCAAGTGACACCTGCATTGCGTGTTGGCGATTATTACAGCGTCCACAGAGACCTGGGCCGCAGGGGACACCTGGGCCATAGGGGACAGTCGGCCCCCCCCCCGCAGGCCCGGCGGGACGCACCCGCTCGCGGCTCCCGGGGCCGGCCCCGCCCGGGCCCAGCCGGCTGTGCCCGCCCCGCCCGCGGTCGCCGGGCCGCGGCTCCGCCCGCTCCGCAGCGCCGGGACGCGCCCGCGCTCCCCCGGCGGCGGCGCGGCCATGGCGGCGGCGGCGGGCGCGCTGTGGGCGGAGGCGCGGGCGCTGCTGCCCGGTGCCGAGGAGGAGCTGTCCCTGGCGCTGAGCGGCGAGGTGGACGACTGCGTCCCGCCCCTGCTGCGGCGGGCCCGCGGGCTGCTCTACGGGGCGCCGGGCCCGCCGTGCGGGGCGGCGGCGGCGGAGCTGCGGCGCCTGGGCGACGTCCTGCGCGACTACGCCTGGGAGAAGCTGAACGCGGGGCCGTGGCGGGAGGTCGGCAAGGCCTGGCGGCAGGTCTACGCCTACGGCTGCCTCTTCGGCGCGCTGGCCGAGGTCGCCGCCCGCCGCCCGCTGGCGCCCGCCGTTCGCCTGTGCGACATGGGGCTGCTGATGGGCGCCTCCGTGCTGGACAACGCCCTCGCCCGCCTCGTCCGCCTCCTGCAGGCGCGGCTGCCCCGCGGGAAGCGGCGCGCGGCGGCCGGGGGCAGCGCCAAGGTACGGCGGCCCGGGGCTCCCCAAGGCCCCGCTCCGGGCGCGGTGGGCGGCGGAGGGAGCCGCGGGGACAGCCTGATGAGGGCGTTTCTGTTGCAGAGGGCCCGGGTTGAGCCCCCTCCGGCGCCCGTGGTGCAGCCAGAAGAAGCGCTTCCACACGTTCGCTGCCCTTCGCTAGAGCACTTCAGAGACAACTATCTAATTCCGCAAAAGCCTGTTGTCTTGGAGGGAATTATTGACCACTGGCCGTGTATGAAGAAGTGGAGGTGAGAAATCAGTGTTTGTTCCCCGTGCTTAAGGACGAGGATCATTTTGTGCATCAGATGCCTTGGCGCGCCTTGTAGCTGTAGACGCCTCTACAGAAGACAAGCACCGAGAGGACTGATTTTTGTTGGGCGTATCTTCCTGCTGCAGTTCTGTCTTTGCTCAGTAAATGATTTTCTATAGATGCTAGAAGTAAAGTGAATCAAATCAGTTTAGAACATCATGTTGTAAGTGCTCCCGTGTGCCAGGGAAATCAGGTGCTGGCAGAGACTGCATTGGAACCCAGCTCTTCCTTTCAGGGTCTGGTGCAGGAGAGAACCCTGGCAAATTCCCTGCACGGTGTTGTACGTAACTGGAAACTAGAGGTGAGTATGAACCGCTAACTGTATCAGTGAATTTACTCTCATTTTAAGATCAGATGCTGGTGATACTTACATCCCAGAGTTTGCTGATAAATAGTGCAACAGGAATTTAATTTCAGAGAGGCATGAATAAAGCATAACTGTCTCTTTCATTCACAAGTACGAGTAGTGATGTTTGCTCAGTAGCTCTTTTGAGTGTTTAGTTTCAGACAGCTGAATTTAGGAGCGAGTAATAAGATTGTGCCATTAGGTTAATGTAGGCAATGGTGCCAACATTTCCAGTCATGAGAACCAAATATTTGTGAGCTAAAGCTTGTGATTCCGTTTAAAGGAAAAAAAAATAGTCAGGCTTAGTTTGAAGGATTGCTTATATCCTTCCGTTCCACAGCCAAGGGTAAAATCTGTGTTAATTTAATGATTTAATGTAGATTGTTGTTACATATTTTATATATAACATTATGTGTGTGTGTATATATATAATACAACTGGTTATCTATATTTTATATGTGTACTATTATGTATGTAACTTTGTTATTTCTTAGGGATTTTTGTCTTTTTTTTTTCAGCCAAGGTACTCTTTTGCCTATCTTCAGATACTTAAAATGATGAACTTCTTAATATAATTAATATCATGGTCAATGAAGAGATGTGCATCACCCTTCAAAGGAATTCCTCTGACTTTAGCCAGGGTGGATATTACTGGCATCTGTATACAGAATCTGGCACTGGTAGACAGTTGATCTAGCATTAATAGTAACAAGAAACAGTATTTTATTTAGCAAACTTGGTTGCAGGCAACAAAAAGATTAGCCATCAGTAGCCAAGAGACTAACTGCTTAAATCTCCCTAACTGTTAAGGAAACAATAATAACTGAGGTAAACAAGGTTTTAAAAACAAGCAGGCAGTATATTATATCTGTGTATTACACAGATGATGTTAGCCACTTGGTTTCTTGCTGCTTGGGTTGTTTACTGCTAACCTTTGTCTCTCTCATTTGTTGGTTTAAGAGATGAAAAACTCATGGTAGTGGCTTTATTACCCTGAAAGATTTATTTCGACTGATTGTCCTCACATTCAAAAATGGTAACAAGAGAAATATAAAAGAGTGATGGAACTTTTTTTTCATTTCAGCGTGGACTATATTTGTCAAGTTGCTGGGTGTCGCACAGTCCCTGTAGAATTGGGTTCCCGATACACAGATGAGGAATGGTCTCAGAAGCTCATGACTGTCAATGACTTCATCAACCAGTATATTGTGAATGAGGTCTGTTACTCTAATTTTCTTTCATTTCCAAAAGCATCAGTGTGTACTGGTATAGAATATTTGCCTAGTTGGAGCTTATTAGAATAAACACGCTTGGAGGTGGTGCTGAAGGTGAGGTTAGGCGATAAGCATAGCACTGAATTAAAAGGTTTGACATTTGTGAGATCTGAAGCTACAAATAGTTACTGCAACGACCGTGGTTGTGGGGATGCGTCTACACTCTTATAATTTCAGTATAGATTTAAGTTGGTATTTCAGAAGACCCCTTATACTAGTGAACTGTTGAAGCAATTCTAGTACTATTACTCTGAAATAGTACATTGTAAATACATGTTCTTACTTACAAGTAAATTTTTACCTATAAGTACGTTAATGACCAAGAAGTCTTACCCTGTATGTCACTATGCATTTTTCTTTCTCTGCTGTAATTTCAGAACAGTGTAGGATACCTTGCTCAGCACCAGCTTTTTGATCAGGTAAAACTGCATAAATGTTTTTCCTCTCTGCAGTCAAGTGTTCCCTTTGTGTGTCAAATCATCCCTGAGAATGTAATTTCTACTAGATGGAAGGGCATATGAGGAATTGACAATAAGTCTGAAGTTTATATTCCAACTGTTTTGAAGGAAGGATTTTGTTCCAAAGGGAGGATTTTGTTCCACCTGAATAAAAGGAGTGGAAACAAAAGCCTTTCAGAGGCGAAGGTGTTTGATTTTAGGGCTGTTTCGGTACAATGTAGCACTTATTTACAGGGATATTACCTGGAAAGCAGCATTTTCCCAAAGAATAGGCAAGTTAGGGAGGAGGTTTGGACGGGAAACCGACTTCAGTGGCAATATGTTCATCAAATCTGCGATGTCATTTTAGTTAAGCAGAGATTAGGTTGGTGGGAGATAGGAAAAGGAATCACACAGAGAATCAAGCTTAGTGTATAAAAGATAAGCTGCTCTTTTTCCTTGAATAGCAAACCTGCTTATTCTTGTAGTTCTGTCGTTCCCTGAGTTTCTCTGGCTTCTGCTGAAGCAAATGGGGTCTCTGAAGTATAAGAAACCCCTTTCCTTTTTTCTTCCACCTCCTTTCAACAGAATCTGCTAGGACAGAAAGCGTGAGGACATGTCCTGCAGATTCCCAGCAGCCCAGCTATTTCTCTGCCGCCATTGCAGAACAAGCAGGTCATTTGTTTTCTTTGTGTCAAGCCCTGTTACTCTATGAATTGTACACCTTTTGCAAGTTAGTACATACCTTTTTTAATGTTCATTTCTTTATGGGAGTAGATCCCAGAACTGAAAGAGGATATCAGTATCCCTGACTACTGCTGCCTGGGGGAAGGAGAAGAAGATGACATCACCATTAATGCTTGGTTTGGCCCAGAAGGAACTATCTCACCTCTTCATCAGGATCCCCAGCAAAATTTTTTAGCCCAGGTCTGTACTCTGCTTACTCTATGCAAGCCGTCAATGCTATAGCTAGAAAAAATGTGTATGGTGTGTAAGTATTAGAGACAAGGACAGCAGACAAGTTGATGGATAACTGAAAGATAGTGAATAGGCAGATATTATTTCGCTATTCTCTTGCATTGATGCAGCAACACTGATGCAACTTAATGTCATCATTAACTACAACCAGTCATTGAGATTAACTATCACTTACCCTCATTCTACAGGTGAATGGAAATGACAATGCACAAATGCACCTTGAATATTGTTTTCGGTTTTGGGCCACTCACTACAAGAAGGAAATGGCCTCAAGTTGCACCAGGGGAGATTTAGGTTAGATACCAGGAAGAATTTATTCACAGAAAGGGTGGTTAGGCATCGGAACAGGCTGCCCAGGGAAGCGGCAGACTCCCCATCCCTGGGGGTATTTGAGACATGTGGACGTGGCACTAAGGGACAGGGTTTAGTGGTAGACATGGTAGTGTTAGGTTGATGGCTGGACTTGTTGATCTTAAGGGTCTTTTCCAGCCTAAATGATTGTATGATTCAATAACAAGAAGTGGCTTTTCCAAGGCCACACAGGGAATTTGGAACCAAATTGGGAAAAACCTTGATACTGTTACAGTGTCCAAAGGACTTTGGTTTTCCTGAACAGCAGGATGGTGGGTAGACTTAGGTGCATCCGCTTCATGTTACCCCATGAGATTATCTATTCGTGCATGCATTGAGAGTTAGGTGAAGTAGTATTTACAGTAACTAACATTTTACATAGTTCCATGCATTAGTAAAAATACCACCTAATGCTTGGTTCCTTAGAGAGCTAACTAATATCCATATTAATATAGAAAAATACCTTAAGGAAGGGTGCAAAGGAACTGGAGTTAAGCTCATTTCAGCGGTGCCCAGTGATGGGATGAAAACCAATGGGCACACACTGAAATGCAGGAGGTTCCATCAGAACATCAGGAAACACTTCTTTACTGTGTGGGTAACTGAGCACTGTCAGAGGTTGCCAGAAAGGTGTGGAGTCTCTGTCCTTTGAGATATTCAGCTGCCTGCTCATGCCCCTGAGCAAGCTGCTCTAGCTGGCCCACTTTAACAGTGGGGTTAGACCAGATGACCTCCAGAGGTCCCTTCCCACCTCATCCAGCCTGTGAGTCCGTGAACTAATTTAATGATGATGCAGAAATAACAACTAAGGGAGTACATGGAAGCTTAACATTCACTGCCAGGCTGTATCTCTGCCTGCTGATGTATTCTCAGTTCTTCTGACAATTGCTTCCTGGCTGTAGGGCTCAAATAACATTGCATAAATTGGGTGCCTTGACCACTGAACTTAGAAGTAATTTGGTTATAGGTGTTACATATATATATATATGGTATTTTGAATTTCATCTGTTCCAATGGAGCAGGTACTTGGATTCCCATACTCCGATGTAACTTTTTATTATAATAGCATCTCTACTAATAACAAAAATAACATATATTTTATTTAGTGTTAAATGCCAACTGTAGCCAACAGTATGGTATACTAGTTAATTGAACATGTCACTTTCCAAAAATAGGTGGGTTCATGGCAGATAGAAAACATTCATTTTAATATGTGCAGGTATTTGGAAGAAAGTATGTCTGTCTTTATTCACCACAAGATTCAGAAAACCTTTACCCACATGAAGGACAAATTCTTCACAATACTAGCCAGGTAAATAGTTGCCTGAATTTTTAGTGTCAGTAATGTTACTTTATCAAATCATATTTAACACATTCTATTGTTGTTTGTTTTTAATAGGTTGATGTAGAAGATCCGGACTTAAATAAGTTTCCCAATTTTAGAAAGGCTGCATGTCAGTGCTGCATTCTGATGCCTGGACAGGTTCTGTTCATTCCAGTTAAATACTGGCACTACATACGATCTCTTGATACTAGCTTCTCTGTCAGTTTCTGGTGGTCATAACTTTGAAGCATGCATGAAGTTTGTTAGTATTGTAATAGCAATTAAAAGTCAGGAAAAGTAGCATCTAGCATGCTTCCCAAGTGAATTCTATTTAAACATGAGAATATTTTTTCACTATCCAGAGGCCAGAGCTGGATTAAAAAAATAAATAAAAATCCTTGTTTCAGTATGGTGAAAGAAATCTGGATGGGTAAATGTGGGTAAACAGCAGTTGCTTCAATCACTTTATTTTTGTGGATGTTTTCAATATAACTTCCTTGTAAAAAGCAACTGTTGGTTCATCATTGTGTATGTGTGTGTGTATCTGAAACACATCTATATATCAACAGTGCCATGACTGCTTTTCAACTGTTTGGAACATCGGGTTAGTGTTATCTTCTACTTGGATTTAAAAATAGTAAAAAATGGAGTAAAAGTGACAGCCCAAAAGTTCAATGTATCTGGAAAAAAAAGTAACATAAAGCAAGATACCAGTCTCCTAGGTGGAAGAAGGTAAGTGTTAGGGACTAGGAAGGTAACTAAGTGTAGTTAATCCTTAGTTTAATAGCAATTAAATAAACTGAAGCTTAATCATACTTTGATAGTCAGCTGAACTGCAGACATTCTGCAGTGGAAGTCTTTGAGTCCCTTTCATTTCTACCAAGGTAAGATGTATCAACACTCTGCTCTGGCACTTGGCAGTAACATTGTCTTTTCTTTAAGTCGCTTTTTAAAGAAAAATGAATCTTTACAGAAAACTGGAGAGAGTGAAGTCCTAGTTCTTAAATAAATAAACATTCAAGATTCTTTTAATACTTCACAGATAAAAGCTGAAATTGCCCCAAGTGTCCTGTACTATTCCTTCCCACTAGTTTTGACTGTGGGAATATTCCATCTCTTCTTGACCATAGCTGCCTGCAACCTGGTTCTGTAACATGAACTCCCTTCTGTCAAAAGAAAGGACAAAACCCAAGCCAACAGTGCCAGCTGAGAGTTCAGACTCTAGCCTTACATCAGACACAGGCATGGTAGCTGACACAGGTTTTAATAGTTCACAGGCATAGATCAGCTTTCAAGACTGAGCAAAAACATTTACAGTTTTTGTTCCCAAACATGCACTGAGAGTCCCAACCCAAGAATATGGAGACTTGTGTACACACAACCACCCCCAAGAAAGTTGTCTGGGCATAACTGTGTAGGAGAAGAGATCAATGATTGTTTTATTGTAAGCCTTTTAAAACCTCAGAAAAAAAAGTACACTTAACAGTGTACTATTACTAATGAATATAGTCTGGCTATTCTACCACAAAATGGGGAAAAAAATTAATTGAAAGTAATTTTTATTAACATAGTCTAATGCTAAGAATGAAGTCCTTTTCTGCTATCTCTTTTTGATGATGACTGGGACTCTATCCGACTCATATCTGTAAAGAAAGAAAAAAAGCAAAGTTAATGACAGAGAAAGAAAAAGGAGTGATACAGTATGACTTACAGATTTTAAAAATGCTTTATATATTTCTGTGCTCCTGTTCAGAGATGCCCAATTTCCCTGGTTAAATGGAGAAATTCTTAAAGAGTTTCCCATCTTCTTAGAAACTCAGTATTTCCTAATGTTTTTGTGCTGTTCCTATTCATCCCTCAAAACTTTAATGTTACGATAAATGTATTCACAGGATCTGCTAGTGCCCATAAGGTAGAATTTTTGCAGGTTCAGTGTTGCACAAGGATGGTTAATTCTCAAATATACAACTGAAGCCAGAAACAACTGATAATCAACTACAATTGTAAATAATACTGGCAGTACCATGGAATACCACAATTCATTCTTAAGTATTATTACACTTTTTTTTTTAAATGTATTGCTTGGTACCTGGAATCTCATGAGGCCAGAAATCGTTACAATGAGGACATCGTGGTTCAGCTTGAGCTTTGAAGTACTTTGCAACACAAGGTAAATGCATTGCAATTCCACAGGTTTCACATACTTGGCTCTGAAATCAGAAGTGTTACTAGAAAACCTTTCTAATCTATCCTTCAGTTCAACATAAAGTTGTCCCAATACACATAGGCAATGCTTTATTCCTGAGAATGGTTCACACATTACAGTTAGAAGACATCGGAAATCAAGGCTGGTAAAGGATAAAGAGTTTTTCTCCTAGAAACTAAGAAATGCTGTTTTCCTATATGGATATAACTTAGCTTGCAAGCCCAACAACAAGCTGCAATAAAGGAGAGCAATTAGGATGGAAAAAGTAGTATTATGGAAGCATGTTAGCTGGAAGATGAGAAGATTCAGCGGTAAGGAGCAAGAAAATTTGGTAGTTTTGGAATAGGAGTTCAGGTTGTAACTTCTCACACAAGACCACACTGGAAACTTGCCACATATCAACACATAGTCCTTTAGTAGTGCTGTATATAAATACATGTTCACTCTGAGCCAAAATCCCCAAACCAAAGATGAATGGTTGTCATACAGAAGATTACCATTTGTAAGGTCCAAAGATAAGACAGCTAGCACTTAACCGTTATGCCTGTTTAAGGATAAGGGTTCATCTCAAGCCTGCTGGCTTTGGAAAGTAAGACAGCACAATAGTGTTGTTGGTTGGGCGAGTTCCCATCCTCCAAGTTTATACATTTTTTTCCAAAGACAGAAGATAAAAATATCTACATTGAAACATATATACATGTGCAATGTTTCCAGATTGCAACACCAGTATTTTCAGGGTCTGTCTAATACTTGAGAAAGTATCACAAACTTTTGCTGTGACACAAGCCCATCAAGAGATGCCTGCTGCGGTAATCAAACTCTTACCTGGATGGCAAGGCTATGACAAATGTTACACTTTCTTGCTGTATCTTGGTAGATGCTGAGAATGTATTGTTCCATCTCCATTATGCAGCGAGTATGCAGAGTATATTCCCCATTTCTCTAAGGAAACAAATGATGAAGTTAGCACTACCTTTTAGTTCCTTTTTCCTTTTCAGATCTTCCTCACCACCTGCGAGGAAGCATTTGATAGCCAAGTTTTTTCTGCCATCATGAAACAAACATAGCCAAGCTTTTTCTGCCATCATGAAACAAACATTCTTACATTGATAAAATGCAAAGCTGAAACACTTTTGATGGGGCAGAATTAATTTAAGAGAGTTGTAAGAAAAAATCTCACACCTTTAACGTAGTCCCTGAAAGGTACAGAGGAGCATACATGTTCTTCTTAAAGGCATATGGTTTGGGAAACTTTCATTTGAACATTAGCAGAACTTCTACGGTTTTTCTACACATCTAGACATTTATGACTTGAGGTGTCTGAAAAATCTCTCTAACCTAAGAAAACATGTGGCAGCAATTCGGAGATCTATGATGTGATAAATCCAGGAGAAAAGGGATTGAGGTCTTACTTTTCGTGGCAAGCAATTGTCACATCCACATGGTAAAACTAATCTCAATTTCTCCAATTTTTCCAAAAATGCGTTTCTGATACAGGAGATTTCAATGTGCTTGGCCTCACTGCTTTTCAAAGAATTCTAAATGTAACTGACAGTTCTGATCAACCTAAAAAGTTTTTCCCCAGCTTCTGTTCCAAATTTTAAGTATATCATGCTGCTGTGTACAAATGATGCCTTTTATGTTCTAAGGCAGGGCTGAGCACAGATACCCACACTAGCTCAGGTACAGGAAACTGAAACCTCATTGTCCTGTGTAGACCTACCGGAGGACTTTTTGCTTGTAAATGTACAAGCTTTTCTGCAAAAATCATTGACTAGAGTACCAATAAGCACAGGCTTAACAAAGCCATTTTTGCTATCATTTAACAAACAACTACAGTTTCAGCCATCAATCCATGAGAAAATAACAGCTGGACCTATTAAAATACAAACACTTTAAAAGAAAAAGCAGTTACCTCAGAGAGCCACTTATCCTCCACAAAAATTTTCAGCACTTGTTCTGCTTCCTTCTTCTTCATTTTCTTTGTCTTAAGTTGGTCAGCTAAGTTTAAAATATCTGTAGAACAGGCAAAGCCATTTTCTGATAAAATGATTAGGTCCATCTGTCAAAAGGAACATTTTCAATCATTAAAAAAGCATGCAATTAGATAGACACACCTTATAGCAACATGCAGCTTTTTCAGCACCCATACAAACCATCCATATGTATGGGTGCTGATAAATACTGCAGTATATGGCTGGAATGAGAACTGCAGAACGAGGGCCAAAGGCTAAAGCCATCATTGTTACTTTGACAATTTTAATCTTTGCCAAGAAAGCATTTCCACAGTAGAACTGTTCAGTGCTGCCTAAATGAAGCCGCAACCCTTCAGCATTCTCAGAAGTGACAGATCTGTTTCTTCTTATCTGACCTCTGCCAATGTTCTTTTGAAGAAAAGTCTTTCACTACTAAAGTGAGATGGTGCACTCTGAATTCATTTAACACTGCTGAACCTGTCTGGCACACAGAGGTTATAGCAGTATTATCAATTTTCAGAGATTCTCTCAATGGGAATATTCCTGCTACACGTTATCACAGAGCAGAATGCAGAGATTATATGCTAGTAGTAACATGCACCATGACAACACCATCTCTGCATTGCTGACATGGCTGTATAGGTTCTACCCCAATAAAGAGGGTGGGAAGACTCTGCATACTACCAATTTAGATGACACTTCAGCAGCTGTCACAGAACAATCAATACACCTCTTTCTAGTTTGTACAAAACAGTGTTAGAGTGCAAAATCAAGGAAAGTCTAATGGCTGGAGAAATTATGTCTTCCAAGTGCTAGAAAATTCACTAAAACATGCAAGATACAAAGCTATGATCACAACTCATTAATGTTTGTTGATATGAAACTAGACATTGCATGTTCTGGCATCTCAGCCCAATAGATCTATTTGGAACTTTAGAAATTTCTCAAATATATGTTTTCTTATTTGACGATCAGCATTCTGAGTAGTTTAATAAACAGAATAAATTGGCAACAGCAGTAACGACACAATCATTTCCATTCAAATCAGCAAAGGAATAACGTTTTTGTAATAACATTAAAATGTACAGTGTATTACTAAACTACTGAAGACAGTGAAAAATTCAGCAATCACAACTGAAACATCTAGGAGAAAGTTGCTGAGGAAGGATGTTTGTCTAACTAAAAGAAGATATACCAAGTCATTAACTCCAAGGAGCACTCCCCCATTCACAACTACATTTTATCAATAAGTGATTTTCATTCAACAGGCAATCGTTACTCCCATCTCTCACACCACACGTCCTATTTGATTTGAGATAAAATTAATTATTAAAGTTGTGCAGGATGGAAACTAAGTCTTGAAAGACATCTCAAATTTTCATTCATTTTAACAGAGTACCTTCCCAGATAATGTGATTTACTAACGAGTAACTGACATACTTACAGTTTTTCTAAACAATTCTAATTCATTTTCTGCATAGTCAGATGCCATTTTAGTAATTTCAGTTTCTGCCAGATTCACCTACAAAAAAAATACACTGAATTCAAAGCGCCCATGTGTTCCTACACCATAAATTGTAAAAGATCTCCCAGGGTAAAGAATACATCATCCTGAAATTAAATGAATGTCATTTCTTAAGTGAAATAAATGTCATTTCTTTAAGTGGCACAAAGATGGTACCCGACTCCTTTCTTTAAAACCCCTGACCTTTCCAGCCACACGTTCTCCAAAGCTGCCTCTGCCTAGTCCAAATTCTTAAACAATCCTACTTCCCACCCTCCATAGCCTGTAACAAAGGGAGGTAGACAAGTGCAAAAAATTTAAGGCCAAATTTTAAGCTTGTATTAAGCTAACAGAAAAAAATGCCAAATTCTGACACAAGATGCAAAGGAATACAGTAGAACTATATTCCACCAGGATAATTGTGCTGCTGGACAGTAGCAGTAAATATTTTGTGATACACGCTTGTTTCATTATGAAGAACAATAACTTATACTTAATATTCCTATTGTACACCCTACTGCTATTTATTACTAGCTCAACTTAATTTGCAAAATGACACACAAAGGTTAAAAGCAGAATCTAGTATTAGAAGACCTTCTCTATGGTCTTTTGAAATCACTATATAACCTTCCTTCTTTGGCATTTGCATTACAGAGCATCCAGTGAAATTTTTTAGCCTATTCTTTAGCACCCCTTTATACTATTTTTTTTTTTTTGAGAAAAAAAAAACACACTCATATTGGAGAGCTCCCCGCGTTTTCTAGTTTAAAAATTCCTCTCAAGAAAAAGTCTCCTGTGAAAAAGAAATCCTACTTCAGCACTTAAGTAATGTTTATGCTAAATAAATCAGACACTGCTATGGTCCTTTCTGCCATGTTCTGTTCCCACACACCTACACTCTTGGCAGTTTATCTTCACACTTCCACATTCTACAAGTAGCTTCTACAGCAGCTGTCAGCATAACAGTGGAATAGCCCCACAAAAACAAAACAAGACACTGCTAAGATTAAGTCTCATCGTGCTGGCAGATGCAGCCTTCAGTTCTAACTAACTGATTTTTCTAAATAGCACTTGTATTATATAGTGAAAGGATCCTAAGTAATTCAGTCTTCTTAACATCCAAAGATGGCACTTAGATTCAGTTAGGTTTTTTGCCCAGTTTACAATCAGAAGGCATGCATACCTTTTATTGGCACATTATTCAGAAATTAATTTTAAAGCAGACACAGGAGACTGTACTGTTCCATGGGGTTATGTGTATGCACTCGTTATGAGAAGCCAAAAACACAAGATGGCAGCACATCACATACTTACTAAGGCATAATGGGCTCTCCCATCACCTTCAGACATTCCTTTCCGGATCTGCATAAACAAAGGCTGTAACCGGATATTAATTGTAGCGATAAAATCATCCAGTTTATCATGTGCATAGTAGACTGAAAATAAGTAAGAAAAAAACACAGAGAAAAAAAAACACATCAGGCAGACCTTTTTATGTGTTACCTACTGAAACATTTTTCTTACGTGTAATTAATTGCTAAGTTATTGAGTCAGAATTCAAACATCTCTAGCATTTATGATAAATTCTTTTACAGAAGTACAGTGGCTTGGTTCTCACAAACACAGGAGTATACCTTCAAAGGCCAATCATGGTATCCTACTGCTCCATTTTTTCAGTTGAAAATTTGAACAAGTGCTGAAATAAGTTCTTTTGGCTTCAGAGTTTGAATACCTATGGACTCTGACTCATTTTAACTAAGGAAAATACATAAATTGTGCCATCACCCAAAAAGGACTCCACTTCTGGCAACCAGGCAAGATGGAGCTCACAACAGGTTGTGCACATCAGTCTCCTAACAGAGAAGAATCGATAGCACTTGTGCTGCTGAAGTTATTGTCGCTTAGACATCCTGAAATGACCAAAAGCCCCAAGTAACATTTCAGAAGACTTTTATTTTAAAAGTCTCAAATACTAGAGAGCTAGCAAATAACTTCAGAGCATATCAGATCTCAAAATGTGTAATGGAAACTACATTTGCTGGAGTTTTCTGCCTTTTAATAGTAATTGGTTAAAACCACTACTTTGAACTGCATTTTGATCTTTCCTTTTAAATGGCTCTTTTTGTTCTTACATTCTTTGTCCTTTTCAATTTTGTTCATAAACAATGATGAAAATACAGGAATTTTATTATTTTAATTATTTTCTGGGAAAATGTGATTGAGATATCTAAAACCAACTAATCAATTAGTGCTAAAAACATCACTCATTTCAGCTTTATTTCAGTTTGTGCCCACCACATTCTCAAAATTAGAGATGAAACAGATCTCTGATCTGTGAGCAGATATCTGAAAAAAATCATGAGCCGATTACACACTTCTGTACCATTGAAGTCTCAACATGAATTTCAAACAAATTAGACAGTACACAACAAAACTTTTGTTCCACATGCCATAAAATTGAGCTTGTTATTGCATGTATTAGAATTAACCAGCTTACAAAATAATTAGTCATGTGACAGATCTACTTGAGATGGATTAACAGCACACACTTCGTATTATATTCCAAAGCAAATCTTTCCAAACAAGTATGAAGGAGAACATTCTGGAAACTTCACAGCTACCAATGTCAAAATATATTTAAAAATATGTATTTACACAGTCTAAAAAAAAAACCAACTTTGATAAAATAAAAAGTGTTCTTACACTTTTCATCAAAGGTGTGTATAAATCTGACGGGATTAAAACTTAGTTTGCATAGTGCTGTGTTGTTGGGTTTTGTTTTGTTCTTTTAACTTTAGGAAAGAAAGAGAATACGTTGTTGAAGTTTTTGTTGGTTTTCTAACTTTTTTTAGGTGGCATATGGTATTCAGAAATCTAAATATTTGTAAATCGCAAATGAAGAAAAAAAATCTCCATCTCTCCACTTTTTCTCCAGAGACACACCTTTATGGATTTCACAGCAGCACCTGTGTAACTTCCTAGCCTCTGATCCTTCCATTATCCCATGTGACATCAGGACCTGCAAGAACCGTCGATGAGCATCAGACATCTGAGCTGCCATAGCAGCATTCCACCAGGCTTCGTGTGCTGCAAGACACAGACACTGAAATTAACGCATATATTTACACAAATTACAAATCATACGCCCCAAGCATAAATAAGATTTCAGTTCAACTCTCTACCATTGTATCAGGGCTCAGCTGATGGCTCAGCTTGTTCTTCACACACAGACAGTGCCTAACTACCACAGCCTATGAGCACGCTGCCAAGGTCCAACGAGTTCTGCCTAACACTTGGAGCTACCAAACAGAACGACGCAGGCACTGCGCTGTCATCCCCAGGCCACCTCGGCCGCGTTATGCGCTACAGCCGGCAGCACATCCTGCACAGCTTTGTATGGGACGCGTCTGCTCGCTACTCATCCGAGCCCCTTGTCTAGATAGAGCGCAACCTGCTTAGGACAGGAGCCCCTCCTCTGCACGGGCCGAAAAACGCCACAAGTAAAATAACCTCGGGAAATTCCTCGACCGCGCAGCCAAAGAAAGACAAAAGCTTCCAGAAACCGCCAATCCCGAAGAGCAAATAACCGGCCAGCCCGGGGCACGCTGCTCCGGGCCGGGACTCGGGTCCCCCGCGTCGCCCCCGGGGGCGGCTCTGGGCTCCCCAACGGCCGCCCGAAGGCGCCGGCGCCGCCGCCTGACACCGACCCGCTCGGCGGCGGCCGCCCCGGGCTGTGCGCGAGCGAGCGGAGGCGCGCGGCGATGCGCGGTGACGCGTGGTGACGCGTGGTGACGTATGGTGACGTATCGTGACGTATGGTGACGCGTGGTGACGCGTGGCGGGGGCGCGCTTCCCGCGGCTCCGGCGGAGGAGGGGCCGGGCGGCAGGGGGAGGGCGGGGCGGGGCCTCGCCGCCCGGCGCGGTGGGGCGCGGCCGCGGCCCCGCCCTCCCGAAGTCCCCGGCCGCGCCGCTCGGTGTCGCGGTTCGGTGTCGCGGCCGCCTGGAGGCCGGCCCGGCTCTGCCTGCTCGCGGGGCAGCCGCGTGTGCTCGCCGCCCGCGCCCGGCGGGGGCAGTGGGAGGCTGCGGAGGCGAGCGCAGCCAGCGGGACGGGACGGGACGGGACGGGACGGGACGCGGCCGCAGGGGAGGGCTCCGGGCCGGCAGAGTGACAGCCGGGCGCGGGGAGCGCCGCGCCGCCCCGGCCGTGCGCCGGACCAGGCAAGTACAGCGGCGGGCCCGGCCGCGGCGGGAGCTGGCCCCGTGCGGTTCGCCTCGAGCGGCCGCTCGGTCCGCGCTGCCGGGCTGCGACGGGCGCGGCAGGAAGCAGCGGGCGCGCCGCCGCCGGACGAGCCCTGGGCCCGCGGGCCTCGCGGGAGCCTCGCGGGAGCCGGCCGGGCCCGCGGGGTGCGGCCCGGGGCGGGGGGGGGGGGGGGCATCGGCCGCTTCCTCCCTGGGCCCGGCCGGAAAGCCGCTACGGTTCGTGTGTCGTTTAAACCGGCATTGGCAGGAACACTTCTTACTGAGACTGCTTAATTCAAACACTTTTGAAGCAACTGATTTTCAGGATAAAACCGGTAACATTCCTAGAAGACTCCTTTCTGCTGGAAGACCTGCTGCAGGAGGCACGAGGGCTCTGACTGTAGCAGAAACCTCAGTAGCTGGGACACGTTTACTTCGATCTGAGAATCTGCCCCAATAAGCTTGCTCTGAGCCGATGCTGAGCTGCTCCTGAATCTCAGGTTTCATTCTTTAAAATCTATTCCCAGCACATACGGATTCTCAGAGAGAACTTAATAGCAATTCACGATGAAGACTCGGAACCAGAGAGTCAGAGATGTAGGACTGGGAGCGAGCAATTCTCATTAGGCGCTTTTGTCTCTTTGGTGTTTTTGTCAAGGTGTCTGTTCTCAGTGATCCCTGTAGTTTCTGTCTGCTATAAATGGGAAAATATCTGAAGTTGCTTGCAAACTATGATTTGTAGCTCATCAAGTCATGAGAAAGTACTGCATTCGTTACAGGCCGAAATGACGTGTTGTTGTGCCCTTTGCTGTCCTTTGTCATCTCAAGCTTTCTAAAGAGAGCCTAGTCTAACTGTTCATCTGCACCTCCTCCTCAATGCAGCATACTGGACTCCAACTTCCAAGTTCTTTTGAAAATCCACGTTGAGGCACCTGCTCTTTTTCAATACACATGTTCGTTGTGTGGTTGCCTCTAACAGTCTTATTGAGTGTCAAAGAGTAGGTATTGTGAGTTATGTTGCTGCAGGTCTTACATTTGGTATCATCACTTGGAGAAAGAAATAATTAAAAGCAGCAGGAATAAGAAATGATTTCCCAACTTCTTTTCAAATTTCGATACAAAATCGGTTGATGAACTTCTGCTTTGCTTTTTCTTTGTTTTTTAATGCTTATCTCATTTTAGTTTGCAGTTATAGCCAATGCTTTAAATCAGAAAGAACAAGTCGAGCTGGACTTCAATTTAATTTTTAAAAAGTCCAGTTCTAAAACAGGGAGTTGTCCTTTACCTCTACAATAGCAGCAAAGGTGAATTAAGCAGTCTGAGGTAGAAATGACTATCATCTATGTTCTGGGCATGAGTTACACTTTGACTGTTACACTTTAACTGTTTTGCAAATTATGCCTGTAGATGAAGTAGGACCCTAATTTATTTAGAAGTCCATTACAGGTGTTACAATTTTTCTTGATACTAAATGGAATCTTTTCAATCACATTATTTCTTCCCGATAGACAGGAATGAGCAACAATCTGAGCATGTAACTTGGGCCAATAAACAGGGCTGCTTCCAGCACTGATAAAGATTTCTTTCATAGTTTTTAGGAAAGTCACTTCTGTCATTTACACTTTATTTCCTCGTACATATTGAGATTACTAGGTTTGCTGTGAACTTAGTATTCTCTGTGTGTTGTATATTCCTCATTAATGTTTATCATCAGATATAAAGAAAAACTGAAGAGCCAGCAGACATGAAAGCTGTTGTCATTTTTTTCATCTTCTCTTGTGTTTAGATTATAGGCCACAACTCTTGTCTTTTTAAAACAAACAAATAAAAGGTTTGTTGTTTCATTAGAACTATGGATTAACTCTTTTTTTTTTATCAGCACATGCAGAACATTTTTCCTATGAGGGAGATATTTTTTTCTCTGTCATCCGCTGATTCACATGCGCTTATGCGATACAGGATTCTTTGCCAAAGTTTTATGAGTTTCTTGGAACTCCAGTCATGGGACACTATTACCTAACAATGGACCGAAAAGCAAATACTTCCTCTCTTGTGAACACCAGGAAAAAAAAAAAGGGAAAGAGTGTTGTGTGCTGGAGCGCTTTGCCCTTTTTCTCAGCAGCAGAAAAAGCATTTATGTTCTACTGTGCTCAGCCATGTTTTGTCTATTTCCAAATGTGTACAGCTTAGCTCTTGAGTGTTCATGAGAAATTCATTTTTAAAGTATGTCTTGTATTTCTGGATAAGTAGTAGCTACTGCAGATAAGATCACAAAGAAGTTTCCATTCTGGTCTTCGATTTTCACTCAGTGTTCTCATCCCTTTACCTCTGAGATTGACATCTTCCATGTTTAATCTTTGGAAGCTTGTTTTAAAGTATGGCTAATCATGCATGTGAGAATGGAAATAGTGTCAGGGGACATGCCTTTTTCTGATGAGCACTGCGAGTTGGGATATGAGTTAATTATCTTGGAGCTGAATCTGACATGCTGAAGTCATGGTTTACTATATTAGAGGCGGTAGCGTTGTTAAATACGTTGAAGAAATTAAGATTCTTTTGCTACAGTTCTCATCAGTTTTATTAATAAATAAATCTATATAAATCAAAGGTCTGTTGTTCTTTCTGTAAAAAAAAAAATGTGGTATTTCTGTCCCTTACTCAGCTGGAAGGTCGAGCTCTTGCCTATCTTGTGTTCATTCTAATTGGCAACAAATATGCAGTAGCTGAGCTTGAGAATCTTGCTAGTTGCGAGAATCTTGCTTCTTGCTTTGAGACGAGTTGTTTAAGGGAATATGGCTTTGGTAGCATGCCTTTGAGGCTACACAATCTTATGTATACAGTGCTCATACGCATACTTCCAAAAGGTCATTAAACTTTTCCAAAGCTAATTACTTAACAAGGTTATACCACAGCAGAGTTTCTGATCTGTTGCCAATTCCTTGTGTCTTGTGTGCTGGTGAAACTCAAATCTGTTTTAAGTGTCAAGGGCTGTCCTACTACTGTAGCTGAATTAAAGCTCAACTTCACTATGCTTCAAGAATTCTAATATATAAAAGCTGCATAACTTTCCTTCTCTGAAGTTGTGCTCATTGTCTTATATGATGATATATGTTTTACAGCTTCTAATTATTCCCTGTTTTAACGAATCTGCATTCTGTTGAAGCAAAACTTAGAGGTCTTTGCTCAGAACTTTTTCTCTAACTACGGTACTGGAGATAGGACTTGAGGAAATCGTATTACAATCAATAGATCAGACACACCTTGCTCTTAAATTCTTCCAGTTATCTGAGAGGAATCACAGGGCTCCAGAGGCATGCTGATACTTTGGTCTGGGGCTTACTCTTTAAATATGTTGCATACTAGAAATGTTCCTTTTCTAGTAGCTGAAATAAGTAGGCCCACTGCTGAAGTCAATCTAGTATCCTCTGTAATTAAAATTTTACAAAGAAGTCATCTAGCTCATTTGTGTTGTTCTTACTCTGCTACACATCTTGTTGAACAGCCTTTAAAGGGATTGGGCACTCCAGGAGATCTGAATCCTAACATCTAGCAAAGTAGCAGGACAAACTGCATCCTTACACTACTTGGGACACTGATGTGAGCTTTTAATAATGTCTTTTGTTGGCAGAATTTCAGCACGGCTTGACCTTCTGAGCCTGGCTAGTGTCAATGATGGCAAGATTCCTACGTGCTGTACTGCATACCCTGTGGATCCTTTTGTTTTCGTATGCAACAAGCAAAGGTATGTTTATTAATGTTTTAAGTTACTTTATTAAAGTTTTTTCCAACATCTTTTTCTCACGACTAGGAATAACTAGCAGGCATCACTATTGCGATTAATTAACTAATAAAAAATTTGTCTTAGATCTCTTCATTTATTGGCCTTTTCCATATGGGCAAGAAGAAAAAAATAATTTGCAAGAAGGAGAAACTGAGGTTTGAAAAGACACCTCTGTACTTGCACATTGTCTAATCTATACTGGGCACCATGCTGCAAATAGGATGCTCAACAATAAACCAGTAACATCTCTGTAGAAATCTCGTAAGAGTAGAAAACATTAGTCTCGAATTTGTTCATTTTTATAGCTGCCACTGTGTGCCATGTGGGCTAACCAGTAATAGACCTGCAGGAAGCTATGCTCATGAAAAAGAACAGGAGCCTATAGATCTACTGTCAAAAGGCATCTGCCAGTATGTGTTCTCCAAAGTGTGCAAAAATGCTGAATCAGAAAACTGAGTTGGCTGGATTTGAATGGATTTGGAAGGCATTTGCTTTCAGACAGTATGTATTCTGATTTCTGCCTGTACATGGGGCCAGATGACTTCCGTCTGATCTTCCATCACTACGCCTTTCATTTGGTCTGGCAAGATGTTTAGCTGCATCATGTTTTAGTGCTGCTTCTTAGATGATGGTTATATGATACAGTTCAACTCGAAGGATCTGAACGTGCATTTTGCTGGTATCTGTTAAAGATATTTCATTATAAAAAGAAGTTAGAAATATAAAATCATGTTTTCTGACAATGCATCTTCATTCTCTGAAAAAGAAATCTTACATCTAGCTTTTAAGTTATTCCACAGTAGTCTATGGGAGGGGTTACAGTTTGGTTTTGGTTGGCTGTTCTTAAAAACCAAAATAGTAAAATAATAATAATAATAGACTGCCCCCCCCCCCCAAAAAAAAAAAAAAAAGATTTCTTAGCCATATGGCCCTAGTATACTGCAGGAAATCTTGTAATTTTGATTAATAAGAAGAGTAAAGGTTTGCAGGAGTGTAATTTCTATGTCATCTGATTTAGGTAATCCCAGTTTTTCTGTAAATTATCAAGGTTTAATTTTACATCTTTTTTTCCACTAGGTAACTACATGTTTCAAGTTTCTTTATTATGTTACTCTAGTTGAGGATTAAAAAAGAAATCCAGCATTTCAATTCCCTTTTCTAACTACATGAACTGAAAACAAATTCTTTACTGTATGGGGTTTCAAAACAAAATTCTCAAATGTATGAGGTTTAAATAAAAAACTAACGTATTGTATCAGGGTTGAAAAAAGGGAAAAGGTCACAGGAAAAGAATACAGAAAATAAGTCAGAGTCCTAGAAAGACATGAGGATGCTGAAAGGCAAGATAAATTTGCTAGCTTAACACAGCAGGAACAGCTTTGTTTAATTCCAGTACTCTTGAAAGCGTAAGATCATTAATACATTGGAAAATAATGAAATTCATCTTTTAAAAGCCCATCATGAAGTGAACAATAAAAATATAAAGGACAGCAAAATATAAACAACAGTAACAAGGTAAACAGGTAATGGGTCTATTAAAATAAATGAGCAGTGTGTCTCTCATGATATTATAGAAGTTTAATCTTTAACTTGTTGATGTTCTGATGATTTGGGGTTGTTTGTTTTTTGTTTCGTTTTTGAAGAACCATGGACCATTCAGAACAAAAGGGAACTAAACATGGTGCTGCCATCCAGAAAGGATATGAGTGATAGTTCTTATCTACAAGATAATTATCTAGCCATAGTAACTAAAGAAAAACATTTTCTAAATATTTGAATGATGATGAAACCATGAGCTGCAGTCAGTTCTAGGTTTGCAACCAGTCGGTATACTAGGCAATTTAGGTTATGATTTTCACCAAACTTTAGAATGGTTCCTTGGTGTTGCCATAAATCTTCATTTTCATAAGTGAGCTTCACTAAGATTATTGAGCTTACTCCAGTGATCCAGGACTGCTTGTTAATGAAGTTTTATGGGAGGCCTTCTAGGAAGGCAAATGAAAGTGATACATGGGTTTGAATGAGGAAAAAAGCCACCCATTAGCAGTACTAAACAATTAAGTGTTTGAGTCAGGTTTTTACTGAAGTACTGCGTGGTCTGGTGGTAGATAAAGTGGTATGTAATGTATCACTGTACCCACTAATAGAGAGTTGGCCATCATGTATGTTGCATTTGCAGATACTGTACTAAATCAGAGTATGCAGAATTTGCATGAGAAAATTCAGGACAACAGAAAATTAGAAGTGTAAGAATAAGAATGAAATTAGGTATTTATGAGAACAAAAACTTTCAGAGGAATAATCTAGAACAGATTATTCCCACTGGAACCCACTGGGAAGAAGTCATCTTTGAAACTGTAGTGGCTGAAGAACATTACAGGATGTGAATTGTTGTCAACTAATCTTGAATTTGCAATGTAAATGACAAGAATGGAGAGTTGGTGATGTGCCCGGCTGTATAAGCAAAATTATTTACATACCATAGAGAAATGAAATCATGTCTCTATGTGTCCTTTATATAACTGCCACAAGAAAACTTCTAGCAGCCTCCCTAAAGAAACTCAGAAAAATAACAGTTGATAGAATTATAAAAATCAACCAAAGCTATTCTGAATTTTTATAGGGAATTTTGATGTACAGCAGGAAAGAAGGAATTAGATCTGCAATGGGGAACTGTTCCAGGGAGACAGAGGGTATGCACTTGGGAAGCTTAAAACAGTTGTGGATAAAGTACAAATTCAGGTGTGTAGGCAGTGGTTTTGGTCTAAATCTGTTAATTATCTGCATTTTTGGCTTTTGAACCTTTTGTGTATAAAAGATAGGCTGATGCTCTTTTATGATAAAAATTTGGTGGTTTAGAGTTTGCATAATTAAAACTTGGCATTCATCAGAACCTCGCTCTCAAAGACGTTGTCTCCAGAAAGGTGGAGATACTTGGTAACATGCATCTCTTTCCATTTTACACAGAACATGAAAAAATTGCTTATTTCCTTTATAGGGGCTTTATGCTTCTGTTTAGAGGGAGAACTAATGTTTATGCCTAGTTCAACTTATTCCTTGGATTTTCTTGCTTCTTATTGTGTGCTACTTCTCCCTACTTACAGCTACAGGACACATACAAGAATTTGGATGCTTTAGTGACTTTGCAAAAGAGCTCGTTTGTGACTGGAAGGTGCCTGCACAGACAAACTGCTCCGAAGAATACCTGCTCTACTACAGGGAGGAATTTTTATTTCACCAGTGAGTGTTTAATAGGGTTTACCTTCTTTACTGTTGGAACGTTAAATACCCTACAGCCGTTATCAGCTTTGATTTCTTTCCTCTGCTATGAGTGCCTGCAACTAAATATAGTCAGGACTATCCTCCTTGCAAGGAGGGAAATGTTTTGTTGCAATTAACAGTGTGCTCTGTTCAGTGGGCTAGTCTTTGACAGACCTCTGCGTTCTTGGTACAGAGGGTTGGTCAAGTACTGCTTGTAGGAGTTGTAGGGCTCTCATAAGTTTACTAAACCTTCACTTCATGAGAAACATCAAATGATTTACCAGGCTGTAGCCTGTGTAAAATGAAGTCTCCCTTGGAGCATCAGTGAATATTTCTGTATACAGTGTAACTTGGTATTCATGAACACACCATTTGCACTGCTCTACAGCCAAGGCAGTATTCTTGTCATCTTCTACAGAGGAACATACATCAGAGCTTTCCTAGTCCTCTCCATAGAGGGGAGCAGTATGATTTCTCCATTGAGACTTCCCAATACCTTGATTTGCACTGCAATAAAACTGTTCCTATACTAGCAGAGCATCAGTCCACTCCTTTGGAGGTTAAAGTGTAGTGAAGGTTGCTTTTAGTGCTAATTTTTCTGCTCGGGATCAGTTCTTAGCTTTTCATTAGTGCAATACCAATAGGTAGCCAAGAGGTATTTGGGAAGGATGGGTCATCTGGAAGCTGCGTGGAGGGTTAAATTTTTGTTTTGGATTTGTTTGGACAGAGTGCTTCTGGGAACTGAATTTGAGCTTGCTTGTTTCAGATTTGATTGGCTCTACACATCGATAAGCTTGATTCCACATTTTGAAGAAATACTGTGCCACACTGCATAAACAATCATATCATTTTCTGCCTGTTTTTCAGAAACGTGTGTGTCCCTGAAAATGGAAAAGAGAGTTTCACATGCACTTGTACAATATATCCCGATTATTTTGTATCAGGCCTCACCTATGTTCTAGCTTTACAGTTCAATGGGACTGATATGTGGAATTACAGTGTTACACCAGCCCTGGTTGGTAAGACATTGTTTATTTTGTCACAAGGATATCTGGTTTCAGGCTTTGCAATCTTAGCTAACTCCTCATTAATGACACCGGAATGGTTTTTCCTTATTAGATGTTAAGTGTCATGCTGGCTTGAATTAAAACTCCATTTGGTGTAGATACCTGATCCTGGACAAGATTCTAAAGGAAACAATATAAGTAATGGGGCAAGCAGAATGATTATTCCTCTCAGCTGCCAGCCATCCACAGTTTGTGGACTTAACAATGTATTTAGTGCATTTCACTAGTGGCTGTAGAATTCAGGGATGAAGAGGATACTAGACTATCCCTACTCAAATTCTTCCGTTCTCTGTCATCCTCTAATTTTTCATGCTGTTGAATCATGCCCGTGAACAGAGCTTTTTCCAGTAATTGTTGGATTACAACAAACCATGGTAAAAGGTGAATGACTGCTCTTTCACGTGACAGAGCATAAATACAGTTTATCTCTGTCAGCACCTATTTTGTTTAAACCAGTGTGTGTTCATAACACTGTCATCTCAAACACTCAGAAGTCTTCCATGTACCTTGGGTGGGCATTGATCTACAGCAGCGAGCCGGTTCCTTTCCTACCCAGTGTCACTGCTGCTCCGCAGCAGAATAAGCAGGAGCCTGCATCTAAGACTCAGGTAGCCAGGACAGTCTGGCTGCAAAGTGGTCCTAAGCTCTCTGCCTACCCTACAGCACAGCGTGTTGTTGTGAGGGTACAAGTTGTTATCATTTCTGCAGGTTGAAAGCTGCATCCAGTGCACCAAAAATAGGACTTGAAGTTTGTTCAGCCAGCTTGAATATTCAATGCATGATAACAAAGACCATGCAGTTGCTCTGTCTTGGCCTCTATATCCTTGCACTATAGTGTAGTGAAAAGGTCTAAAATTGAATGACTCTGAGATTCTGGTCTCTGGTGAATATCTTTATCTCTGCTTCTTTCCGTCAGTGCTGTCTCATTGCCTTGTTCTCCTTGTGTTTTTTTTTTTTTTTGTTTGTTTGTTTGTTTTGTTTTAATATACAGTTAAGCCAAGGGCCCCCAGAAATCTTGCCGTTGAGAAAGCTGAAAATGGTAATTTCAATCTGAGCTGGGAGGAGAGCTATACCCCTTCATCCATGCTCTCTGGACAGCCAGTCATCTTTGAAATAAAATATTGGAGCAAACAGCACCCAGGAGAGGTAAGAGAAAACCAGTCTCTTCATTTTCTATCTATGGAGCTTCGAGGGTTAAAAAGTGTCTTTTTTTAAAAGAAGTCTCGAAGGACTTTGAAACCATGTCATGACTAATGGTGTAAGGGTCAGAAAAGGAATGTTCCTGAGCACACTTGCTACTGATCACATTCCCTAAAGGTGGTTCAAACTGAACTTCATGGGACTGAAATTCTGCTGACTAGTACCCCAAAGTGTCTGGTGATTACATTAGACAGGGAAGAGATCTAAAATACAGTACTTCTGTTACCCAAACTTAATTTTCTTTTTAGACATCAGGAAAACTTATGATGCAATTGGTATCTAACTACTTCCACTAACCCTTCTTCCCATAAAGAAATCAGTGAACTTCCTTACTTTCTTTTCAGGTTTCTATAAAATCAATTAACTACCAGGCAAAAAGCTTTGAAATTACTGCAAGCTCCTTGCAGAGAGGCTATGATTACATTGCAAGTGTACGGTGCAAGTATACAGACTACCCAGCCTACTGGAGTGACTGGAGTGACAGAGTTGAATTTCACTGTGGTAGGTATTGTAGCAAATAGCAGCTTGATAAAAGTTTGGTACAGTTTTATAAACCCTGTTGTATATATGCCACTGCCTTTTAATTACCAGAGGAGAGTTACAAAATTATTATCTTCATCCGTTTGAATATATTGTGGATCAATCTTTAAAGGCTTCCAAGGAGACTCAATGTGAAAAAGCAGCTCTTGGGGAAACTGAGGAAGAGAAGACCAAGTTGGATCATTCAGTCTTGTGGAAAAGAAGGCTGAAAGGGAATGTATTTGTTCTCTTTGCATATTTCATGAAGTAGGCAGCAGGAAAGAAGTCATGTTTAAACTAAAAAGCAATGTTTACACAAGTGGGTATAAATGAACAAGAGATACTTAGGAAATTAAGCAATACTTTAACTATTAGACGGCTGACTTTTTAAAAGAAAAAAAAAAAACAACAAACTGAAGAACAGTGAGCGTAAGAAGCATAGCTGCACTACAGCAGAGATGATAATGCCATTCCAGAAACCATGTGGCAGGTTTGTCTCAGAGAGCTGACAAATGGTTTCACAATTCATGTGGTCTCCCAGTTCCTTAATCACCAACAGTAAGTGACTGAAGTACCTGCATTGACCTTTCAGACATGACACATACTGTTGCCACTGGTAGCTGCATATGTTCTGTTTATCTGCTATGGCTTTATTTTACATCCTCTAAAGTAGCATTGCTTTAATATGCAAAAGAAGAACACCATGTTAGGAATGTTTTAACAATTCGTGTCCATAAAGAACAGTCCTGTCTGCCTCTGGGCCCTGCACTGGCAATTTAATTCTTGAACCACAGATGCAGTGTGTCCCAGTCTCCCCCTCATTCTAGTCAATTTATCAAGTCTTCAGAAAATACTCCTCAGATTTATGAACCTGTTTGCTTTTGTTATTCCGGACTTCTATTTCTAACAGTTACAGCCTTTTTTTTTGTCTTCTTCGAGATTAACTTAACACTGCTATAGGTGTGACTGTCCCTGTGAATGGCTGGTGAAGAATGTTTTAATTACTGGTGAAGTGTCAATAAGAAAGCTATTTGTGTTTGTATGAAGTCTTTGATGTCTGGGGGTTTCAGAACAACTGATAACAACTAGTGACTGTTATGGGATACTATGCAAGCCTCTGATACCTGGCCAAGTGGCCAAGATATTAAGAAGAAGAAGAAAAAAAGAAGCTGAAGGACAGCTGGGAGACAAGACCTGCAGGGGATGTTCTATAAACTTGATACGGTGCCAAAGGAGTACAAAGGGGAAGGACGAGAAAAAAACTTGGAGAGGAAGACTACAAGCCTTCAGCATGAAAGACCCCTAGAGACCCCCAGAGGGACCACTGGAGACTGATGCGCATGCTCCAGTAGGAGGGACTGGACCCTGGAAGCTAATTATAATAACCTGTTTTTTTTTACAAGTCATAATGAATATGTATTAGTCTAGGAGCATAAAAATCAGCTACTTGATGTAACTGGTGTACGTCCTGGTGGAGCGGAGACTCCCGGTGCACCCAGCGCTGTTTGCTTACCTCTATTCTTTTAATAAATCCTATTTTTTTATTTAATCCTATTTTGAAGACTGAGCCATTTCTAACAACCAGAATTCATGTTGTCAGTACTTATGTTTATATGCACATATAGACATAAATATATATTTTTATTTAACAGATTATCAAGTAACATCTGAAGACATTCTGCAGATGGCTGTTCCTATATCTTGCATCCTGATCATGGCAGTAGCTGTAACTTGTTATTTCTGTTTTACCAAGTATGTATCAATGTTCACAGGTTTTATAGACCAGCAGTTTGCACAGATATCAGTATTGCCCTTGCTTAGTTGAATGTCTAGTAGTACAGGAATCTAATGACTTACTTTTCCTCAGCATGTTTATCTCAGACTCTATGAGCAAACATAAATCAGTTGTACTGTCATTTTGTGAAAAGAAAATCGAATATTTTCTACTAATCTTACTAGAATGGGCTTGTTAGAGTATCCAAAACAGGTTGCATTTATAGGTCTGTCAGTTTTACACTCAGTCTTTGCTGCAGTTCCAGTAATGATGGTTAAATATCACTGGAAAAAAATGAAAAGAAATACTGATAATGTGAAAGTCGGATCCTATCTGTCTCACACAGCATTTTAAACGTAATTAGAAAAACATATGACTGTGGTTGTGCAGAGCAGTCACGCACAGAGCATAAACATCTTTGTACTAGGTTAATGAAAAAGCAGCATTTGGAGATATACGGAACAAGCACTTCCTCTTTCTGCAGTGCAGATGGCTAAGAGGGAGAGAAGAACAGAAGAGAGAAGTGTACACTGATCAAACCAAGATACAGTTAAAGCAAACAGTTTTAATTCTTGCCTTGCAGAGTGAAGAAAGAATGGTGGGATCAAATCCCAAATCCAGCAAAGAGCCATCTGGTCGTAAAAAATGTCAAGGTAACTTACGGGCTTTGCAAAAAATACCTTTTCCTGATCACCAGAAATAGAATACGTAATAAATGCTCTTGGCTGGCTTGTACATGAAATACGAAATACAGTTCATGTGTTCTAAAACTCATTTCTGTTCTTATTAGCTTTCAGTCTTGTGCTACATCGATGAAATTAAGTTCCCTTTCCATGACATAAAGCAGAGTCATATGGAAAAACAAATGTAAGTAACATTAACCAGAAGGGGGAGGGACACACCTCCACTTTACGGCATAAAATGTTTTCCTATTACATAAACATTAACTGTCCTTTCCTTTTGATTTCCAAAAATAGAATTTGCAAAACCTGTCTGTCTCAAAGTTTGTCAAGCCAAAATTTCAAGGGAAAAGATAACATCAGAAACGCTGAGAAATCTTGCAGTTGCCGTAGCAAGACTGGAGAGTGGTTTCCAAAAGGCAGTAGTGCAGTTTTAACCCCTGAGACAATTCTCATTGAAGAGTCTATAGAAATCTGTGAATGTTTAACAGACATCGAAGCTGAGAGCCAGGAAGAAACTCATGACCAGATCACCATGTTTGAGTCTTGTGAGACCAGTGTCAGTGCTTTCAGGGAGCACAATGAACACAACGATGCACTAGCTAACATGTTCATTGAGCTCTTGGAAGATGAAAACAACATGAAAGATGATAAAGACCCAGATGTCATCACAAGAGAAAATAAAACCTTTGAGAAACTTGAGTCAAAAAGTGAGTCTCAACGAAGTCCTACAGAAAGCACAGCCCAGAGTCAGCAGACATACGGTATTTTTCATAGAGTTTCCCCTTTCACCAGAGCCTCTCAAGATGGGTACAATTGCAGTATAACCAGCAAGAAGTCAGTAGAATCAGAAGAATCCTTTGAATCTGGCTATCAGAGCTCCAGCACAAATTCTGCTTCTCTGGATGCAAGAGATTCTCCCCATATGCTTCATCAAAGCCTTTTTCCGTGCAGTTCTGAAAGTCAGCGTAACTCATCTGTCCTGATGGAGGAATCTCCAAATAAACTAGCCTTTGTGACCAACAAAGACAGAATAAGCAACCCTGCATACAAGAGCTTTGACACCCTTGTGTCTCCATCTGGGGAACCAAGTAATTCTGCATACAAGAGCTTTGACACCCTTGTGTCTCCACCTGGGGAGCCAAGTAGCTCTGCATACAAGAGCTTTGACACCCTTGTGTCTCCACCTGGGGAGCCAAGTAGCTCTGCATACAAGAGCTTTGATACTCTTGTGCCCACATTCAGGGAGCCAAGTAGCTCTGCATACAAGAGCTTTGATACCGTAATGTCTCAGTCTATGGCAAACAGTAGCTTGACCATGCATTTTGAAAATGTGTGTTCCTCACTGCCTTTGACCCAGCTTTCAGAGACACCAGAGCTTTGCTGCAGAGATCAAGTTTATCGACCCCCTAGCAATCAGTCATGTTATACCAACTGCAGATCTCCCTGCAATGAGCTTGATTTTCAGAACACCTGTTCAGAACATACTGATTCTCCATCTTTCTCCACACGTGCAAATGATGGAGTTTCAGCTTTCCTACCAGAGGAGGAAATACATAAGCAAGTAGCATATCAAAATGTTCAAAAGACAGCCAACATGCTTTCTTGTCCTGTTGGACCTCAACCATCTGGTTATCAACCTTTTGATACTGCAGTTAAATGTAATGGTATATACTTTGACAATGACAGTGAAATTATCTCTAAGTCATTGTATGAGCCCTTCATTCATGTGTTGTACAACAACCTGAGAGAAACACCGCCAGATACCATAATCCATGAATCTGACCAGAATATAGATGACCATGTATGTTTGATTGTACAGGGCAATTGTACAGATTGTGGCATTGTCCCAGGTGTATCCTCTAGTGAGAATATCACACACAGTAGTGTGTGCTCTAACGAGCTGCCAAGTGATAGCAAAGATGAAAATGCCAGCAGAGGCAAACAGCCGTTGCATTTGTTAGAGGTGAACTGTCAAGATTTTAACAACGGAGAAAGAACTCTAAAGGGAACAAGCTTTAATGGCTATAACTGTAATGGTAAAGGAATGCAAGAGGACAGCAGTAACAAGCTAAATACTGTCCTGTGCCCCACACATAACCATTTGAGGAAGTTTGAAAATGAAAGGGAAAATAATCAGGTAGGAAGCAGAAGGTGTGGCTCAACAGCTAATTTGTCAGAAGAATCACTAGGCAGCATTGAGCTGAACTTAAAATCTGCACAGCCACTGGGGCTCTTGGTCTCAGACAAGCTGTCAGCTCCTCTTTGTATGGATAACCACTGCCCTTCTGATTTTCTCACTGTTAACACTGGGGGTTGTAGACTGGCACCTGCAGTTAAAAAAAGACCAGCAGAACTACTGAGGGAAAACAACAGGAAGAATGAGAAAAGAATTAAACTTTTACATGCTCTTGCCCAAGAGGACAACTGTTACATGAAGGTAGCCTAGTCATATTTGCCAAGAGAACCACACCAGCCTCTGGAAATAAACTGTGTGGCAAATTGAAATGGTGCTTATTCGTCCAATTTTGCCTAAAGTGAGGGCTACTACAGTACAAACGTGGATTCACTGGGTTGTAACACATACTTGCTGCAAAGGTGGCAGCTGGTATGTGAGGCAGGCCATTGGGGGACAGCAGGGGCTGGCACCTAATGTAGCTGCAGCTCTGTCAGGAAAGCACAGAACTGAAGTTTCTCTGGCTATGATCATTTCTTGAAAGTGAGCAGGAGCTGCATAAACTAGGAGTTCTTATTTGGCACAGCTCCTGGGGTTGGTTACTGCTCAGGGTCTGTATGTTGTTTGGGAAGCACAAAAGATGATATGGAAGTTGCTGACCTGGAAGTGGGAAGTACGTGCAAGTCAAAGGGGAAGTGACTGCCTTGCATTGGTGGAATTGCATACCTTCCGTTATTTGTTTATTGGAGGGGGTGCAGGGGGTGTTTCTGTGTTCCTGGCACCAGCATGTGGTATATGTTTTTATACTTCTTTAATCAAGATCTGAAATAAAGATTACTGTCATTTGGGCTTAAGAAATTGTTATTGATGATCAGCCTCTTACTTTAGAAGTAAGCAGTTGTTTCATACTTACACAGCTGTAAATGGAATGACTGAACTTTTCTAGGGCATTAGCATGTAGTTTGGTATTGTAAATTCTTCACTAGTATGTTGGCAGTAGCACAAAACAGTTAAGTAATTTTATGTGTATAAACATACATACATATGTTCTCGTTATTTAGAAACCCCTATTAGTATTAACATTCATGAACAAAGATGGAAAGAGTAGTGCTAAGAGTGGATCTGTGGATGCTGCGCAGAAACTCATTTGACGTGTTTTGTAAAACTTTCATCCTGCAACTCTTTTGATATTTCAGGTTGGCCCAGCAGTAGAGGTATTCATGCATCAATTTTACAGCATAAAAAAAAAAGGTATGTAAGCCCTGGAAGGAGGGTTGCAGTGAAGTGCCTGTATTCAGATGCAATATTAACTCTTGTGTAGGCACTGATTTATAGCCCACTATGGTGCTGATGAACATGTTAATATTGTTTTTAATTGAAAATACATGGTTGACTTTTATTTCCACATGGATGAGATTTAATCCTCAGAAATACTCTTAGAATCATAGGATCATTGAATCATTAAGGTTGGAAAAGACCTCTTAAGTCCAACCATTAACCTAGCACCTAACCTAAACTCTTCTTGGAGGCAGGCAGTGCTGAAGTGGAATGGCTGTGGGGCAGAAAGATGAAGAGGCATGCCAGGACCCTTCAAACAAACCCTTGCTGAAATGGTGGAACAGGAACATGCACAGAGGTCATGAGCTGTCTCATGAGATTGCTGACTCACTTCCCTATGTCCTAATGAAGTCAAGTTTAAGCAAAAATCCACAGCTACTTACTATGGCTACTCAGCATGGGTTACTCACTATTTGCGGTAGTAGCACAGGGCTTTTAGGGGAGGCACAGGGGCACAAGTGGTATTTTCTTCCCCTTCTGCCCCTGCACTGTCCCCTGTGCTCTGGAGGGAATTGTCCTGGAAGGCCTGCATTTGGCTGTAGCAGCCAGGAGAGCTCTGCTCGGGCAAGGATTGGAAAGCTGTTTGCTGTAGTAGTTCCCCTGCGGAGCCCCAGCTTCACTCTGCTTTTCCCTGTTTTTTGTTTTTTTCCCCTACATAGTAACCTTCCCCCCCCATCTGCTTGTTTCTGTTGGATGACTTTCTGTGCTAGGGTGTTCTACCTGTGCTTTTCCCTTCAGTATTACTCTGGTGAAATCAAACCACAGCTCTTCAAGCAGAGGGAGCCCTACTCCTGTGCCTTTGCAGAACCCAGAACTTGTGTTAAACATCAGGACTGTCTGGGCAGCTGGCCTGCTAATCCCCCTATCCTATGTCAGGCACAGTGCATGCATGACTGAAGTGTGATCTAAGTCAGTGTTCCATCTCCCACTTCCTTCACATTTGCAATCTAGAGCAATTGCTAGGCTATATAACACAGGTATGTTTCAAATGACAAGTTTCTGACTTTACTGGGAGTGTGCAAGAGTTCTGACTTTCAGCAGGCTTCCAGGACTGCCAGTGTGATGTATTGGCCTGAGTCACACCTCTGAGGGCCTAGTCTGTGTTTGCACAAGCAGCTTATCCTCCCAGGAGAGGAGCTTCAAACCTAGAAGCTGGGGCCCTGCAGGCCTTTTTAGCTAGTAGGGGGTCCCTACCAGTTCGGTGAATTACCTCTCGCAGTAAATGTATTTTCTTTTTTTTTTTTTTTTTTGTTCCCAGTTTGTTTTGAAAGACTGCAATGCAAATGGAGGCTTGTGCTGAGTTTTAGCCTAGTTATAAAGCCATTTATTACTCACTCGTAGTCATTCCCCCTTCATACATATCATCCTTACCTGGCTGCCTACCAAGTATTAGTAACCTGACTCATCATTGTCATGAATGAGTGAAACAGGTTCCTGAGAAAAGCAGGTGTATTCCCAGTTCAGGAGAAACTAGTTCTGGTTAACTGTTTTACTTTTGCAGAGAACGTCACAGGCTTTTTTTGTTTGTTTTGTTTGTTTATTTTGTTTTCTAAATGTGAAGTTTAACAAGAGCAAGTGCTGTATTCTGCACCTGGGAAGGGACAACCCTGGCTCTATGCATGGACTGGGAGATGAGATGCTGGAGAGCAGCCCCGCAGAGAGGGATCTGGGGGTTTTGGTCGACAGCAAGCTGAACATGAGCCAGCAGTGTGCCCTGGCAGCCAGGAGGGCCAACCATATCCTGGGGTGCATCAAGCACAGCATTGCCAGACCGTTGAGGGAAGTGATTGTCCTGCTCTGCTCTGAACTGGTGCAGCTTCAACTCGAGTACTCTGTGCAGTTTTGGACACCACAATATAAGAAAGATTAAAAATAAATAAATAAACTGTTAGAGAGCCTCCAAAGGAGGGCTGTGAAAATGGTAAAGGGTGTGGAGGACAAGACGTATGAGGAACGGCTGAAGTCACTCGGATTGTTCAGCCTGGAGAAGAGGATACTGAGGGGAGACCACATAACAGTCTACAGCTTCCTCACGAGGGGAGTGGAGGGTCAGGTACTGATCACTTCACTCTGGTGACCAGCGATAGGACCCAAGAGAAGGGCTAGAAGCTGCGACAGGGGTGGCTTGGGCTGGATATCAGGAAAAGGTTCTTCACTGAGAGGGTGGTCAGGCACCGGAACAGGCTCCCCAGGGAAGTGGTCACGACACTGAGCCTGCCAGAGTTCAAAAAGCATTTGGACAACTCTGACAGTCTGATTTTTTGGGTGATCTTTTGGGGACACAGGAGGTGGACTTGGTTCTTGTGGTTCCCTTCCAACTCGAGATATTCTGTGATTCTTATCAATGCTCTTTAGAAATATGCACCTATATTGAAAAGGTGTTGACAAATTCCTATCAATCACAAATTTTGTCATTGCCCTTGGAAAACTAATCATAACCCCAAGAGAAGGGTGAGAGAATCATGGAGGTAGGGGGGTAAGCAGACCTGTGAAACAAGTTCCTGGGGGTAGAGGTAAGTTAACCAGGGCTGGGGGGTGTCCTCAGCTTTTTTTTTTTTTTTTTTAATAACTTTTGTCTGCATCTTGTTATGGAATGTATGTTGTTCAAACAGGTTGCAAGGATGTCTAAGTGCTCATCCATCATAAGCTACTGTGGTGGACCAGACCCAGTACAGCCACAAACATTATCTAAGAAAACAAGTTCTGTTAGGTGTTGCTTTCCAGCAGCATAGCCAAAAACCAAAGGACTAGAGAACCAGATGTGTAACTTCCCCTACCCTGCACTGTAACATTTATCTCTGGCTGTGAAATTATGTGAGAAAGCTCTTTAGTGAATAGAGACTGAGAAGACAGTTTGCTTTCTCCTAGCCATGTCTTTTTTTGTGGGAAACTCCTTAGCATGATTTTTGCAGTTTGTACATCCGATGTGTGTAAATTTGCATTCAGATGCCTTCACACAGAGTAGGTATTTTTCTCAGAGGAACTGTGCCTGTGCAGTGCACATGCATGTGTACACATGCACACAAATATTTCCCACCCTCTGCAGACTGGTAAGAACAAATTCTGGCCTGGGCTCCCATATGGTGATGTATCATGATTACGTTAACCACAATTTTAATTTTTTTTTCACCACACTACTATTTCTGAGGTAGCCATGCTATGCTGTCAGATTTTCATGGGATCTTGCAGCCACTGCACAGAGCCTTCAAGGCCCCCCTGCCTAAACTGTGGTGATAGGGTTGGAAGTGAAGCAGTAGCTCAGCAGGAATTTGCTGACAACCTGAGGAATGAGACAAATGCACTGGTCTGGTTTTCAGCTACAGCAGTATAATCCTTACTTGGCTCTCAAAGAAGATTGCTCCAAGCAAAAGAAAACAGCATAGCAAAGAAGAGGGCACCTCTAAGGTACCTCACTAACATACTAATCAAAATTATAGTTTACCAGATTGCTGTACCTCAGTGTGTTTTCACAGAACTCCTAATAAGAGCTAGCATCAGCACCACTAATTTGCTAAGTCCTGACTACTGTCTGTCCTTTGACAAGCTGAGGAAGCGGTGTTGAGAGGAACTTGACATCTCTGTGCTGTACTCTCGCCACAGGTGCTTTGCTCTCTTTGTCTCTTGTGCTGTCCCATTTACATCCTGTCCATTTTCAGGCTTTCTACAGCATGGAATTTCCATGCACCCTTATTTCCACCCTTTACAGAAACATTGCAAGATGAAAGAAAAGAAAAACTGACCACAGTCCTGGAATGAACAGAGCAGGAGAACTGACTGCTGTGGCACTTGTAGCTTCATAGTGAGGAGGAGCAGATGGTTTTTGGTTTGTCTTGTGCTTAGCCAGAACATTTTCTGTATAACTGAACACGTACACATTATGTGTTCTGAGAGCAGAGGAGCAATTGTAACAGCAAGAGTTGGAATAGTACCAATATAACCTGTGACATGTCTTTGGTAGAGGGGTGGCCGTGTTAGACCTCTCCTGGTCCATTAATTGCGGTAGGTGCCCTAAGGAGCTCCTATCTTGGTTGCTGGTTCTGTGATGGATCAGCCGCTCCCATGGTCCTATATGTGCTTGTACTGCACTGTATTAAGAGCAAGGCACTCAAAGCAGTGTGGTGTTTGTCCTCTGCTTGAAGGTGACTGAGTCAGTGACTAACATATCACGGGGACTTTCCTACTTGCTGCTGTTTCCCCAGCTCTTAGACATGGGGGAATTTGCCATAAGCTGAAGAGTTTGAGGTTGGCTGCTTCTCTCCAGCTCAACCACTGCTGGTTTCACTTGCAGTAAACCACCCACACAGCAACAAAAATTATAACAGAGTGCGGAAGTACTGGACTGCCTTTTGGGGAAAGAATTTCCACACCTGGCTCAGGGTTTTAATCAGTCCCATTTTTTTGTCCTAGTGCTGTACATGATTGCTGTGAAAACCAGCTCTGCACTGGCTGTGGTTTGCCCTGAAGATAGTATTCTTGGTCCATGGTGAGCAGCCAGCAGAGGTCTCAAGGAGACGGCTCAAGCAGGTTTATGTTGTGTTGCATTCACTAACCAATAAACGCAACTGACAGGCTCTCGGCTTGAAAGTTATACAGGGCAGTTCATTTCTGGTGATTCTGCTCTCCCACTGCTTAGCAGAAGTGCTCCAAGAATACCTAGGCTTCCCTAATGCTGCTATACCATGGCCTTATTCTGAGCTGCGGTGGGTCTTCACAACAGACCTTGCCATCCTGAAGCAGTAGGAAGCTTCCCACTTCTGGTCAGATGACCTCTGCTGTTATTATTTGTCTCAAAAAACCTCCATCTGTGTTCTCCAGTGTGAAGGGCCAACGCATTCACCTGCTGTCCGTGTTGTCTGTATTTAGCATGCTGTCCGCCATTGCTTCAACTTCTTGCTGCTCCTAGCACATCACTTTCCAGCTTCTGCACACGCACAGTGACCGGGTAAGCAATGTGGAAACTGGGTTGTTCAGGGTTACTCTTTGCTGATCACAGAACAGCAACTAGGGGAGCCAAGCAGCTTCCTTATTTGAGCAAGAGCTTCACACCACAGCCAAAGCCACAGTAGAGCATGGAATCCCCCAGTCCCTACATTTTGTAGGAACAGCCTTCAGATTCCTCTTCTTGCTGAGCATTGTAAAAGTTTACCAGTGCTGATTTGGATGCAGATGTACTGATGTGACGTGATTTCATTGCATTAGTCCCTGGACTCTAGTGGAGCCAATAACCCTGTGTTTTGGCCTTTTTAGCCTCAAATAAAATAGCTGCTACCTTCTGCCACTTTACTGTGAACTCTTACCAGCTTCAGGGCAAAACCACAGCTTCCAGCAATAGGGACAGTCCCAGGATGGTTTCAAGAAGTCTTTTAGCTTCCCTGTGCAGAAATGTATTTTGAATTTTTGGAAACATTGGTTACTTTGGAAGAGTCTGTTTCCATGAAAACCTTGCTTATCTCCAGTGTTGTTAATATGCCTCAATGTATTGCAAGGTGCTTCTCATAAACTCTGCTTGTTTGTCCATCCCGCATACCTATTCCACTTTTTCTCCTAAGGACATAGTATGTCCCTGCCAGTGATGTGAGGAGCAGCCAGTTGTGGTAGGACTTCATGGTCTGTGGGTTTGGGAGTGAGCCAGCAACACTACTGGACTCTGTACATGCCACGCGATCATCTGTAGCTTGTGACTTGCCACATGGAGGCAGCATGCAGCACAAGCCATTAGCTTTTGCTTTGAAAGTGTTTCCACACTTGCAAGTTGAAAGTAGCTGGTGTGTTTATCACCCTATTAGAGATACCAAAAGCTGTGCAAGGTACACGGGATTGCTCTACCCAGCCCAGGGCGTGGAAGGCCTGCTGCAAAAACTTGTGGCCAGGCAGTGTGGGTGTGGCACCCTGATTCTTGACAGCTGTGATAAAACAAAGATTCAAGAGGCTCAGGTGGGGCTCTTGCCATGAAAAGCCATATGCCAGCAGCAAGCTGTGATGTTGGTGCATCACAGGAAGCAAACAGGATATGCTGATGGATGTTGTCCCTAAATGGGTCAGTTTCTGCTAACCTGCATGAAAGGAACAGGGAGCTCTGCCAGCACTAGTGACTCAGGGGAACACTGTGAGAGCATGTGGACTTCCTGACCTCATGCAGGGTCAATGTCATTTGTAAGCACAAACACAGGGTATGGCCTGAAGTGACTCAGGACCAGCCTGAGACTGGCTGTGATAGGAGACGGAGGAGAGGCTGGGATACATCAGCTGAACAGACATGAAAAGGCTGATGCTCAGTTTGTGAAGCTGCAGGAGCCCAGCTGTGGGATGTAGCTCTGATAAACGTTTTTGGGGAGGGGCTGTCTTGTGGGGAATCCAGAGGGATCCACGATCTCTGAGGAAGGTGGTGTGGAAGATATCTCAGAGGGAACATACTTTACTGTAGGTTGAATGTACACCAGTCAGGATCCAGTGTAGTAAAGCGAGAAGAGGGTTCTGGGCACGTCCTTCATGGTGCAGATGAGGGTGATGGGTCTGAGGCTGAGCAGAGCTGTAGGTTTCTGTTCCAGATGGTCCGAGTGAGTTCACAGGCGCAGTCATTCCTGTTTCTGCTTACCAGCATATATCTGGTGATTTCCTAAGAGAAGATACATGCCTCTGTGTGCTCCCCTCCGTGTGAGCAAGATGTACGTAGTTACAGCTCTGTGAAGGTAAGCCCTTTTCCTCTGGCAGGAGTCAAAGCAATGTTCTCCTACTACAGCCTTCATGGAGAAGGTGTTTAAGCTTAATGCATGTTGGGGGAAAATAGAGGCTGAGCCCAATGTTGGTGGCTGTAAAGAAACGATCAGCAAAGGCAGAAGGGAGCCAGGAGGGCAGGGTGCTGGGGTCTGTGTGGGTGGCACTCAGCATTCCCCAGACTAAGAGCAATGTACTCCTCTGTGCAGCATCCTGTGTCAGCTCACAGGCCAACATCTGGGGCTTTGTTGTTTTTAAACCTGCTGCTTTGCTGACTAACACCTCCGCATTCTGCCTGGCTCATTCATATTTTACCCCATTTCCTGAGCTTTGAGGTGGTTTCTTCTATTGCTTTCCCTTCCAGTAGAACACTGTTACTCAGGCTTCAGCTGTTCTCCTGTCATTTTTGACTCATTGCTTATGGTAATTCATGATTATCTCTCTCCTAAATGTCACCAGCCAGTAAAGATGTCTTTGACTCTAGAATTATAATACCTGGTCTTTATCTTTGAGGATACTTTGGATGTTGTTTTAATTCCACTGTGACAAGAATAAAATACAAAGGTAGTACTGATTGTGCAGATACTTTCCCCACGTCATGAACTTGACAACTGGAAGTGTCACTAACTCTCTCTTCTAGAGAAAGGAATTGTTAGTTCTAATTGTTATTTCCTTTGTATTTTTTCTTTCTGATAGATACATATAGATGTTGTCCTTCTTCCAGTCATGATAAAATGATTGTCTCATCAATAACTCTACCAGAATCTAGCAAAACCTTCCATGGTATGCCCTTTATACTTGCTGTTTGTTGGATATAGCTACTGCAGGCTGTGCTGAGGTTACAGCTGAGTGCAAGTAGTTGCCTTGTATCTTGAATCAACATAAACCCATGACAACTGACAATCTTCAGGTCTAAATGCTTTACTTTAGCTGCTCTGAAGTACCATGGAACCTCAGGCATCTCCTGAGGTGCAGGGCAGACAGTGCAGAGTACCTCTAGAGCAGTATGTTCTTGGAGATGATCACTGCATGGTGAGACCACTGACTTGCTTCATTCAGGTGATAACAGGTTATCAGGGCTTCTGGAGATGCTGCATTTATATCCTACATCATTCCAGGTTGGATAGAGAGAATACAGCCACTGAGAGACCTGGTGGTTCACACTGTGCTGGGCTTCCCAGGACTGAAGAGGTAAGCATCTCACAAGGATCACAGAAGGTAAGCTGTACAGATCTAAATTTTGGCAGTCACTGAGAGATAAACTTCCTTAAATTAAAATGAACTGTTTTAAACAATTTCTAGCTGCCACTGTTTCCCTTTCTCAGATCTAACAACTTACCTTCAAACCTGCTTCTGCTTCTGTGCCCCTAGACAATAAACATCTCAGTGCCCCTGGATCACCCTTGGTTGTGAGAGGGGGAACAGGTGTCTTGGACCATTCAGGCCAGGGATGGTGTCTCTTGACTATGCTTGCCAGGTAGCTGCTGTTAACTGTGCTCGTCAATGTGCCAGTTGTATATTGATACAATATGCATGCAGAGGATCCTGTTCATGCATCACCTACAAGCATGGCATCAGGCCTGAACTTCTAGAAAAGGTTTGTCCCAGCAGATGCTGCCTATGGGTTGTAGATGTTGTTACTGCTGCGAATAGTGTGGCATAGTGCAGGGTCAAGTAGGCTGTGAAACTAAGTTAAACACTTTGCAGGCAGTCAGTAATACCTTTCAGTTATGAGGTGAGAAGGCCAGGACAGTGGTAAAGTTTTTGCTCCATGGTTAGACAGGACTCTCCAAATTATGCTAGCACTGTAATTTGTGCAGCAGAAGGAGGAAGGGACAGCATTATGTGACAGAGATTGTCCTGCAGGCACAAACCATGCTACTTCTAAAACATGCAATAATAAGCATTTGATATTACAGAGCTAATTTTCAGAACAATAATACTGGTGGTACTCTTACAACCACACCTGCCTTATGAATTTATTTTTGCATTTAAACACTTGTATTTTTCCTCAAACTTAACTCATTAAAATGAAAAAATCATGCATTGCTTTAATATTTTCTTTATAACTGATTAGGCTGCAATTATTCTGTATTCTTCTTCTGGGAATATCCCCCTGTAGAAAGATATCTCTCCTTGTTCCTCCCTATATATCAACGTAGAAATCCGAGAGCTGCTCATTTGTATTGTTATTAACAGTTACCTCATGGTTTTATATTCATTGCTCTAGACTGGGATTGGCAGCCATTTGAGGATGGGGTTCTCCTTTTCAAGATATCATATATGCTGGTAGCAGTAAGCTCCTGATTATTTTTTTCAAATACCTTATCAGTACATAAGAGACAGCTGCTACTACTGAATGTGGACCCGGGACCTTCTGTCATTAGCATCTGACAATCTCATACTCTCTATGGTTTGTGATTGCTGCCTCCTGGTCTACATGAGAGATGGGGTTTATTCTGTTTCTAACCTATCATAAGATTGTTTTGTATGTAGACCAACCAGCCATGACTCTTCTGTATCTTTGGTTTCCCGTTATGGTTAGCAGAGCCTTGGGTTCTGGGTGTGAGCTGGCCCCTGCTGGCAGAGCATCTGCTGCTGTGCTATACCAAGTCTTTGCATCTCCTGCTGCTGCATGGTGGGTACATGTTTTTTAGCTCAGCAGGTCTTGAAGGCTGAACACACAGCATAGGCCCCCTGCACCCAGCTATTTTATGCCCACTTCACTGCTGCTGTCTCCTTGGATTGTTCCAGCTACTTGATCCTCAACCTCCTGCCACCTGACTATGCTATATGTGCTGAGTCCTGTTCATAGTGCTGTTCCAATTCCTTTCTCCCTTGCCCAGGGGCACAAGGAGTATGCATTGTCTCCTTTAGCCCCGCTTGATGTGCTAAGAATAGACCATCTTCCCTCAGTGGTTGCCTTGCAATCTGCAGACCTCCAGCCCAGCTATGAGCTGCAGGCATGGAGTTAGGGCAGGGAGAGGCATGGACCCACCACCTGTGCAGGAGCCAGACCACCTCCCTGCCTGTGGTGTGAGAGTTGTGCTGCCATCCTGGTCTCATGGGCCATTTTAGAGACAGGTGGTAGCAGACCAAAGCAGTACTTGGGTGCCTCAGATGTGGTACATACTGTACTATTTGGTCAGGTTTAACCATTTAATGCCTTGACACTGATACCTCACCACTGCAAGCCACTAACTCAATCAGCCCCACTAGTGACCTTTTAGCTCTAAGGTTTGTGAGTTTGTTTTATCTACTCTCCCACCTTTTTCTCACATAAGAGTAAGAGAGCAGAGCAATACAGTCATAAATGGTGTGTGGGTGTTTGGACCTGAATTCATTGCCTCCTCTGTGCTCACCACATCCTTCTATCGGCACAGTAATACTGATACAGTGCTGACGTCAACTGCCATCTATCACTGTATATTCCAATACACTGCAGCTCCCGGCTGCACACAAGTAGGCTTTACTCTGACTCAGTGCTGATGAAAGACACCTGCTTTCCAGCTCCCGCACATGCAGTGTCTGCACTCACAGTAGTGATTTAGCCAGGCCTGCCGTGAAGATGTTGAAGGGCTGAAATGGACAGCTGAAAGGACGGGGCAAGGTAATGTCCATGTTCCCATCAAGTTTCCCTGCTGCCAGTTTGTTACTGCTTGATATCTGTGACTTCATTGTAAATCTTTCCTGTCGCTGACATGGCCCTGTGTCCCTGTTGCTTTAGCTTTGTGATTAGGTGGCAGTGTACGTTGATAATGAAGTTTTCAAGAAGAAAGCTTGCTTTTGTGTTTAGCTGGTGGACAGAGAGACTTCCCCAGGCCTTCCACTCCTTTTACGTGGTTATAACTGTGACATTTATTTTCTCATGCTTGGAAATATCAAAATTATTTTTTTTCTTACTTCACATAAACTAGACTCTTAGATTCTTTATCCTGTGGAAATTTGACAAGTGCATATAGTTCCTGGACACATTTCAAATTGTGAGCTTAGACTGTATCCATGTTTGGCAGCTTGTAGTACCCTGCTTCCAGAACCTTAGCAAAATAATCTTAAATGAAAAAAAATAATCCAATCCTTCCTCTGCTGAAGAAGAGGCAGCGAAATGTCTGTCTTGGCTTACAGGGAGGCCAAGACGGTGGTGCGTGGCAATCTCAAACCAACAATATTGAGACTGGGCTTCTGCAGCTGGTCACAGCACTAAGGGGACACTATTTCACTCCACAGTCCTAGAGCTGATGCTGGGTTACTGTCTGTGAAAGAGCATGAAGGCCTGAAGAGGAACAGCAGTAGCACTGGGAATTCTGCATTTTATTGGCTCATCTGAGCAGGGTGCTGGCATCCTAGGCAGTGGGATCCCTGAATATTGCCAGTACAACAATTATTTTCTTGGCATTCTGCTGGTAGAAAGATGATTTTAAAAGGTAATTGACAATTGCATAGCCCTGACTCTAGGACTGGTGACTTCTGGGCCTGTTCTGGACTCAGTGACCTGTTCATTTGGCACAGCTCTTCTATGAACATGCTGCAAGAAACAGAGCTCTTGATGCTAAGAGGTCATGAGCAGGTGCTGCATCAGCTGAGGAGGAGGTTGCCCATCTCCAAGGTGGTTGTTTTCATGATGCAGCCAGTCTTAGCATGGAGTTGGGTGAGCATGTTTCAGGTGGCATGATAATAGGGTGTCTTTCTCAAGGGAATAAGCCAAATTAACTTAGAGAAGAGTTGTGGATAAATGCATGGGAGCATGGGTGTGGTTCAGCAGTGGGCTGTGCAGCAGGCAAGAGAGACTAGCAGGGTGGATGGGGCTCCGTGCTGAACCAGAGCAACCATTTCATTTGGCAAAGGTGTTGGAAGGGAAGAAGTGGCAGCAGCAGCAGGACTGAGGTGCTGTCACCATGGCACGTTTGTGGAGCCTCCTGAGTGAGCCCTGCTGATCTCATCTGTATGCTGTGGTGCCTTGAGAGCAAGTCTCAGTGCTCACATGGGTCTAAAGGGGCTTTTTGGTAGCTGCTAAATTTATTTTGCTTTCGTTATTTGAGTAAATCTGGAAAATTTTTAAACACCACAAATATTCCCCAAGTAGGAGAGGCCTCACTGGCATTCTCTCTGCTGAGTGACTGGGTGTTTGCTGCTAGTAGTAGGGGAGGTGCAGGCACCCCAGGACTTGCACCAGGCCCTGATAGAAGCACTCTGGTAACTGCAGCTTGCTGCTCATTCTTCACCCCTTACCTTTTTCACAGTTGCTTCTCTGCAACCCAGTGAGTTTTTCAGGGCTCTAGGACTTGTTGCTTGCAAGCGTGGCTTGCAGCCAGCAGAGGGGCTCCTGTGGGTTCAGTCACCAACTCTTGCTGCTCTGTGGCAGGGCACGTGGACCCTCCTTTGTGTCTGTGCATCCTTGCAACTTGCTCCAATAGAATTATGTCCCAAAGCAGATTGTTTCTCCAAAGCCTTGTCCCTGTGTAGCCTAGCCCATTTCAGAACACTGTGCTGAAACCTGTAGTGGGTACCAACAGACAATACTCTGTAGGGAGTTCATTTTAATTCATTCTGTACATATCTGTGTATTTCTATAAAAGTTAAATACTGTGAAAACAGCCTTAATACCATGTGGCTTGAGGGCCTGGTCTGGGAGCAGGGGCTGTGGGCTGAGCAGTCATTTGTATGTGGTGCTGTTTCCTCATGCTATTATAAACACCTGGTTGTCTCATTCTCTGAAGACTTTCCTATAGGTTCTTTTCACCAAAATGTATCAAGACAGTCTTCCCCTGAAAAGAGTGCTGTACTTCATTCTCTTCTGTTTCACATGGGAGGCTGTTATTTTTGTTTTATTTAGTCTGCCTTCACGGAGTCCCTTAACTAGATAATCCATGCTTATTTAATCATGGGAAGGACAAATCGGTGAGTTCTCACAAACATTGCTCAGACACACAATAACATTCAGACTCTTATTGGACTAGTTCAGTGTAAAGATGTTTAAGCCACAGCAATGTCACTTCTAGTTGCAAGCCATTTCTAGTTGCAGGAAGCTGATGAAGAAAAAATGGGTTAGCACTTAACCCAAGTGTCTTCCTGTTGCATGGATAGACTGAAGCTGCAGTCACTTTGCAGCTTTCTTTGAGCACATGCTGCTGGCAAGGAGCAGAGACTTCACTGATCTGTTTTATGGCAAGTTGGCAAGACCCCACCCCCTAACTCTTAGCCCATGGGAGAAATGCATATTGGAAAGCTGAGATGCCGTGCCTAAATTAGGCACGTCACTTTTAGACATGTAAATGAAGGCTAGATTAATTTCACCTCAACCTCCAACACGCATGAGCAGATGGCTGAGCTGAACTCTTCTTTTTTTTGTGTGTGTGGCTTTTTTTGCTCTTTTCCAGGACATCCAGTCAGAACCAACATGAGGAACAAACTATGGCTCAAGAGTATTTCCTTCTTCCTTTTATTCCAGTACAGTAAGTTCCCAGATGTATTTTCCTAGGTGTACACTCACAAGCCTTATCTTTTTGGCTGTTAATGTAGGCTCCGCAGAGACACACAGGGCATGATAGTGCCATGGGACAACAAGCAGAAAACAGAGTACTAGTGGAGAGGGTTCTGTGGGACAAGGAATTATGGGAAAGTCTTCATGGGGGCAGTGGAGGACGGATGGGAGAGGTTGCACAGCTGGGCAGAGCTCAGCCAAACTGCATCCCACTCCAGGGAGCAGCATCCATGAGGACATTGTGGAGGTAGTGCCTGCCTTGCACTGAAATGTCTTCTGGTGAGATGGGCTTTGGGTCGCTACCTGGAACATTTGCCACAGGGAAGGTTTTGGTGGCTGAGAGCTGGGTATCCGTGGGACATATGCCCACTGTTGGCAGGCCAGCCACAACAGTGGAGTGAACTTCTCTTGCTCTGAACTCCTTTGCTCAGGACTGTGCTGTACAGATGGCCACTGCCTCTTTCTTTATGATTTTTACCCACCCTCCAAACTTCAGCTTGACTCAGAGCTGACTTTCTAAACATGTCAAGTGGACAGAAAAAGGCAGTGACAAGAGTGCCTGCAGGGAACAGGTGCAAGTTTAACATTTCACATGCTGCTTCTAGACAGAGCCTTGGACCTGCTCCAAACTTGAATTAGCAGAAAAGATGAATTCAGATGTATCTTTTGCCATACAGGGCCACTGTGATGTCTAGTCTGTATTTTGTGTAATACAAGCCAGGGAATTACCCTGTATAATCTCATTTTGGACCAGACTAGATTTTACTGTTAAAAGTAAAATCCTTTTTCTTTGTTTCTGAAGCTGCCAAGAATGGAATTCATCCTAGATTTGACTGGGTTATTCTAACATGTAATTATTCCCTTACCAGTAAAAAGTTCACCTCTTCTAAATTTTGTTAGCAAATTCTTGCATAAAGAGATACGCTTGCAGCTTCCAGCTGCCTGGGAATAGTAGACTCTTAATTAATATCATAATAGCATAGAAGAAGGATAATTAGCAATGCTTATTAGCTTATTAATACTTGCTACCATCTCTGAAGGAAAGCAGAGGTATTAGCCCCCTTTTTTACAGAAGAGTAAAGTAGGCTAAGGAAGAAAAAGTGTCATGTTCTCAACTGAAATAAGAAGTGTCTGTACCAGGGGCCTCAGGAAGCCTGTTGAGGGCTCAAAATGAAAAGTTAAAATTGAAATGAAACAAAATGAAATTAATGAAAATTTCAGGACAAAATTCTGAAGTCAGAGTGAAATGAAAAAGTCAAAATGAAACAAAATAACAACCACATAGTTTGAATCACATGCAGTTTAATAAAACACGTGTACACACTTGGAGCCAGAGTCTGTTGCAAACATCCCCAAACTTCTGTCACCATTCTACCTCTTCAGGGATCTCGTACACAAATCTGAGTGTTTTCAGAACTCACTTAGGGAAAGCATTGTGCACCCTGGTGCCATATGACTTGCAAGAAATTTTATGGTGAGCAAAGTTGGTGGAAAAGTTGGGCATTGTTTTCCTTTTAATTTACCCTGGCCTGGAATTAGGCTGTACCCTATACTGGACATACCTGCTGTGCGTTGTTACTGTGAATTCAAATACAACTTGTTTGTGAGGATGTTATTTGATCTGGGGGGTGGAGCAGATGTTTCTGGTCCACAGAACACAGCCACATCTTTTCTCTTTTAATTTAAAACTACTACCCCTACACTCCGTGTTAGAGAGTCCCTCCCCATCTTTCTTATAAGCTCCCTTTTGCAAGGCTGCAGCAAGGTCTCCCCAGAGTGCAGCTTCTCTAACTAGGCAAGCAGCAGAAGGGCAAAAGGAGGAAAACTAACGAAAGTATTGGCATCAGAGGATTTGGATGTCTGATGGCTGTGAACTAGTATATTCCCATCAGGCCAGGGACAGTCTTGAGAATAAGCAAGGACACATGTAAACAAGGATACATGATTTGATGTAACTACCTTGATACCTTCCCCTAGACAATGACAATTTTACTCCCATCAAGAAGGGGCAGTATTGTACATGCAAGAGATCAGTTGTAGTAGACATGGTTTGCACTACCATGATATACTACATCTCCTACAGGTCTCTCCTCATAGTTATTCCTAGGGTAACATGAGAGGTTTTTGTCAGCCCATGATGCTGTCAAGAAAGGGCTCACCAATGCAGACATTTCTCACTGCACTGTGGTCTTCCCTGCCTTGAAATTCAGGGAGATAGACTATGTCATGCATAGAAGAATAGTTTTTTTGTACAGCACATCTCAGATGCTGATGTGTGAAAATTGCTTCTGCAGAATAATTAAAAGCATAAATGCTGTTTTGTGACCACTTACAAACAAGTTAATTTTCTTAATGACCATAGTGTTACTTCTACAATTGCCCCTCACATTCTCTTCAGGAGTCTGTTTCAGTTTAAGTGATTGATAAATTGTGCCAATGTAGTATCATAATGATTTATGGAAAATATAATAACTAGAAAGCTGCAAAATATTTTTGCCAAAATTCCATGAAAATCTTATTCCAAGTTTATGGAACTGGATGTGAAAAGCATTGATGCTGCAGATATCAAGCTGTAGAAAACTGTAATCAGAGAGGATGGTAATGAAAGAATTACTAAAATAGCACTTTCAAAATGTGCAAAGTGCAATGAATGGTAGATTGGCAAAGGGCAGTTCTAAAAATTTAGGAAGTTATGTCATTAAAATGCTTGAATATGCTATTATTTCTGGTTGGGACACCTTGTCTTTTTAATGTGCTACATAAGCTAGGCCTCTTGCAGAAATAATATGCAACTCTGGTGCCTGTGTAAGAGGAGACAGAGATATGTTTGAAAATCCATTCACTGCTTGGGCATTTTCTGGTATTTCTGCATGTAATTTGCTGCAACGGCATTTAAAAAGATTTTTCTTTAACAATTACTTGGCTGTCAATGACTCACCTTCCTGCAGAGATAGAACACACCTGTGCTCCACGACTGGAGATTTTCTGGGGTCTGGTTCTCTTCTGATGTAGTAGGAGTCCTGAGGGCTGTGTATGTTGATAAAAAGTTCTGCTTGCTTCAGCATGGAAGCTGACATTGTTTTTTCTTTTCAAACCTACAGCTATGTGTTGTGAAAACCTCACTTGTTTTGTGGACTATGTACAGACCCTGTCCTGTATCCTGAGAAATGACCTGAGTGCCAGTTCATATAACCTTACTGCGACATGGTATGTCTTAGTAGGATGAGGCAGCAGGAACTTCTAACACCGCTATACTGCAGTGATGTCCTTCTGCTGTCTTCCTTAGGTAGAGTTTTTCCTCCTGCCATGCTGATGTTCAATTTGTACTTCATACTTCAGTTGTCATCTGGCTCCTCCACTAGCAAAGAATCCCTGGTTCCTGCAGCCAGTGGCTGAGCTGCTTGTTACTGATTGCTACACTGTCTCTGGCGTTGTTTCCTCTCCTTTGTTGGGAGTACCCTGCCCATTACTGCTTACAATGGGCTGCCACTTTTATGTGCTGGCAAGGGATCATGCAACTTGTCCAAGCTTTGCATAGCTGCTGTTCTGCCCCAGCCAGGAAGTGGGGTGCAGTTCTGGGCAGTGCAGCTCTAATGGTCAGCTTTTCTTGAAAGCTGTTATTTCCACAAACACTTCAACATCATTTTTCTGTTTCTCTCAGAAAGCTGCTGAGCTGAGCAAATAGAAAGGGGGAAAAAAAAGTCAGTGTTCAAAGATAATTTTTTATTTGAACATGTTGCCTTTTTTTTTTTTTTTTCCTTATGAATTTCTCATTATTTTTCAGTAACAGATTAGTCCAACTACATCGTATAATAGATATGGACTACTTCCTTTGTTTTGTTTTGGTGTTTCAGGGTTCCTGAGGACAATCCAGAAAACATTGTGGCTGCCTGCAGTCTCCTGCAATTGTCCAGGAACACCAGCCACACACAGTATATGTGCATTGTGGACATGACTGAACTCCTGGCAGATATCAAAGTGCAGGTTAACGTTACAGAGATGGCTGATAGACGAAATGTTATTTCCAAAGGCTTTTATATGGTACAGAACAGTAAGTACAAAAATGGTGGGCTTGTTATATATTTCCTGAGTCTATGTCCATCTGCCAGGACAGTCTGGGCACAGAGTGAGCATGTCTGCCAAGGGTGGGGAACTGTGTTCAGTGTGCACTCCTATACACAGGACTCTGTGATTTTACTGCTGTCCCTGTAAACTAAAGAATGTTTTATGCTGGAGGCTAAGCTTACAACTGGCCTAACTGTGCAAGTGACCATGGCTACATGGAGACCTCCTATGTGATGAGTAGGACAAGGTGCTTTACTTCCCTCATCTCCCAGGAATTATCAGCCCTTGTGATATTTCCTCCTGCTCCGTAGCTGATGAGAAAGTTCAGAAACAAGCAGCAGAGTCAGGAACAAGGAATATTCAGAGCTGCTGAGGTGTGAGTCTCTGTGCATTGCTCAGGACTGCTCACTCTGAGAGTATGGCCCACCACCACTGAGGCAGTTATGGTACCTAGTGACTCTGCCTTTCTGATACCATGCTGGACTATCTCTTGTGTCTTCTGTAATGTAGCAAAGATTAATACCATCCTGTCTTCACCCACAGTCAAACCACAGCCTCCTTTCAATCTGACTGCTGTGTTCGCAGAGGGTTATAATATTTCTTGGGAAACTATCTACCAGAACTCTTTCTACTTTTTGAATGAAGAGCTGGAATATCAGCTGCGTTATAAGAGAAGAACTGACACCTGGGAGGTAAGTGAAATGTCAGTTTACCATCAAGTAAGATGTGTCAGCAAAGAGGAGGCCAGCACAAGGAGGACAGGAGCACTAGTGTGGAAGAAGGGTTCTAAGGGTTTTGAAAAGTTTCTCTTTGCTTGCCTGGATCAAAAACATACAAAACTTACCAAAAAAAAATAAAAAAAAATAAAAATTGCGAGGCAGAAGCTGTTTGAAAGGTACAAGATGCTGTGAGGAAGACTAGTAGGTCATTTGCTTCTTATGCTGTCCTTCATGGAAGGATCCCCATGGCCACATGCTACTGACCAGCCAGAACATGGTGCCACAGAAATGGTATGAAAACAGAGGGGATTCCTTTGCAGGGCTCCACACTGTGCATCAGTGAGAGTAATATGGGAGTAGTCACTCCAGCCTCAACTATTTGGTGTTTAATTGTTCACAGACTCAGAAGACTAAATCTGTTCATGAAGATAAACGGACACTGGTGATCCTGCCACAGGAGCTTCAGGGAAACACTGAGTATGAGTTCCAAGTGAGAGCCAGACCCCGAGAAGACAGTGGCTACAGTGGATTTTGGAGTGAATGGAGTTCCCCGCTGACACTGAAAACCAGCCCTGCTGGTAGATACTAGCTTTCCCTGCCCTTCCAGTTGGTCCCCAATGTCAGAGAATGCTTATAGAAATCTAATTAATTAGAGCAAAAGCTAGATAGTAAAGGCAGTCATGTTTGGCTTGATTTATGGGTACATGAACCATAAGTTTGGGCAGGTATATGCTGTCTATATTGATCTTACTGGGCTACAAAGCACACTTTACAGCTGTTGTGGTTTAACCCAGCGGGTAGTTAGCTAAGCACCACCCAGCCATTCACTCACCCCTCACCCACCCCACCCACAGTGGGATGGGGGAGAGAATTGCGGCCGGGGGGGGGGGGGGGGGGGGGGGGGGGGGGGGGTAAAAGCTTGTGGATTGAGATAAAGAGAGTTTATTAGGACAGAAAAGAAAGAGAAATAATAATGATAATAGTAATAATATGCACAAAGCAAGTGATGCACTGTGCAATTGTTCACCACCTGCTAACTGATGCCCAGGCTATCCCTGAGCAGCAGTCCTTCCCTCCACACCGCAGTCAGCCATCCCATATAAATGTTCAGCATGACGCTACGGGGTACGGAATATCCCTTTGGACAGTTTGGGTCAGATGTCCTGGCCCTGTCCTCTCCCAGTTCCTCATGCACCCCCAGCCTCCTCACTGGCAGGGTGGTATGAGAAGCTGAAAAGTTCTTGACTTATTGTAAGCATTGCTCTACAACAATTAAAACATCAGCATGTTATCAACATTATTCTCATTCTAAATCCAAAACACAGTACCATACCAGCTACTAGAAGGAAAAATAACTCTACACTAGTTGAAACCAGGACAACAGCATGGGAGGAGGGTTTGGCAGGGCTGGCTGTAGGTTTGTTGCCAATGCAGGAGTGTTGCTTCTACCTTCCTTCACAGTGTCAGACTTCCAGGGTCCTGCCTGCAGCTTTCAGAAATAGGAAAGATCTAGCGGAGGTACCTGCACTACTGGAGTTTTGTGTTGCCTTCAGCTAAGGGGAAAAAGAAGCCTGCTCTCAGGGCTAAGTTCCATATCTGGACTCCTACCTTTGATGGTCGTGCTAGGCATGGGTGTTTCATTCAGTAGCCATTATTCCCACTCTGCAGGGATCTGCCTTATGCACAGAGGTACACTGGTGTTTGCCATGGTGGAACAGGCTCTGAAACCAAAGACTTTGTTCAAACAGAGGGGAGGGCAGGATGACCGTGGTCAATGTCAGCAGTGTATGCTGTGCTTCCCCACTCAAGCTGATCCACAGCTCAAATAGAAATACTAAATGGTGCTGTGGCAGCAGGGTGATCACTTCATGGATTACCTGTGGAGGTGTCCCTAAATCAAAAGAAGTCAGAAACAGCAGGAGTCTTAGGAACAGTGAGCTGTTCTGCCCCAGTCATGTTCCTTGTCAGCTGCCCTCTGGCCTGGCTACACCAGACTGATAGGCAGCTCCTTTTGTTGGTGTAGTCTTCTCTGAGCACCTTCGTTCATACCTGACTGCATGTACAGGGGGCAGGGCCACAGGCCTCAGCATCCCTAAGAGAAAATCTGGGGTAGAAATTCAGGGTCTTCTCTCAGCATCTGCTTCTTTATTGACCAGGGTCTATTTAAATGCAAGGTGAGTCTGAATGAACCCTGTCTCTTTCTCCAGCAGTGACACAGACAGCAGGCATGGGATGGATGCTGTTGTTTGTTGTTGTCCTGGTAATCACTGCTTCAATCATGGCCTTTCTGGCCAAACATCAGAGGTAAGAGTCCTTAGGGAAGCTGGAGTAAATTCCCCTATTCTACTCTGCCAAAGATGGGGCATTCACATGCAGCCTTTTTTGCACCTTGTACAGTTGTGCACAGACACAGCTCTGGGCCTGTGAGGGCAACATAAGGTCTCCATCTGGTACACTACTAAGAGAGCCTTGCTTTTCTCTGGGGGCCTTGCTGCAGGCTGGGTGGGACAGGACACTGGTGCATGGGGATTAATTAGAGGCCACCCATCCATCCTGGGCTGTTTTCCTGGTCCTGCCCATGCTCTCAAAATGCCCAGACAGGAGCAGCAGCCTGCCCCATTCCAAAGCTAATGCAATTCCATCAGCACAGGCACAGGGTCTCCCCCCTTTTTGGATGGCCATGTGCCCTTGCAGAGGGACAGTGTGCACCCTGCCACAGAGATGGTGCTGTGCTGGTGCAGCACCAGGGCTGGCACAGCCCATGGCTGAAGAACAAGCACATAAGGCAGAGTTCTGCCCTGAGGGTGCAGACCACTATCCAACCCAGCCTGAGGAAAATGGCACCTCCAGCACTTGGTAATTTTCCAGAGAGGAGAAAAAAAAAGGAGCGTGAGTATTTTTGTGCACACGTCATGCGGGCTGAGGCATCAGAGGCCTGGCTCACAAGAAAGGCCATTAGATGGCTCCAACAGCACAAGACATCCTTGAATCCCTATCCACTGATTTCAGTGATTTCAGCTGCTTGAATTGGCTCTGGAGGTGCCTTGTTTTGGATCTGTAATGTGTGCTTAACCCCAAAGCCTTTCTCTTTTCTCTTCCAGCTTGTGGAAGAAGATGGCTTGCATCCCAGACCCAGCTCCCTTTTTCAAACCACTTTACCTGGTGCATAATGGAGATTTCAAGGTATAAATGGGCTACATGAGTCGAGCACATGACAAAGATAAACTAGAAGACCCAGTACTCTCTCCTGGGCAAGCGATTCTCGTTAGGGCAGTAAGAGGAGAAAGCTGTCTCAAAGGAATGCCACATGAGTACAGATGAGGACCAGATCCCAACAGTGTAGGTTCTGTGCTGGGAAGACCTTTATGCCAGGGCTGTGCTGTTCATCCCCTGTAGGTACAGTCTTAGTAGGTGAGCTGAGCTCATATTTGAACTGTGAAGTCTGAGGTTGTGAAGGGAATGGACAAAGGGATACCAGGAGAGTAACTGGAATTCTTCCAAAACTCCGATCCCATGCTGCCATGAAGGGCATGGAGTAGATTTCACCGTAGGGTCAGATCTCCCAGTCCAGTCTCTGCAGTAACACAGGCTCAACATTAAGCGTTGTAGCTCTCTCTGGAGAGTCACTCATGCAGACAACAGATATGTATATCATCCTAGAAAGGTGAGTAGACCTCTGGGAGGCAAATAACTCCTGTGTGACAATACTGTATACCCAGCTGCCTCCCTATTAAGGAATAATCTTTGTGAACTGGGCAACTTTGCCTAGCCCTCACAAATTCTCTTCTCATTTAACACCAGCCAAACTTGTTCATCTGACAAAGTGGCTTGCAAAGACCTCAGGGTTTGCTGGAGTTTTTGAGACACAAAAGTAAAAGAACATTGAGTATACATAAACATTGTTTGTATTAAACTGAAGAGCAACCCGCAATGCCATTATCAAACAGTAAAGATGCTGGCACGTAAGTGCAGACACCATTGCCTCTTTCTGAACAAGTTCCTGCTGATCAGCAGCACTGATCAGAGACATTTCAGTGTCTGCTTTTTGTTCCTGCTTTTTCTTGGACACTGTTAGAGGGACACCGGCTGGGCCCTAATGATCTTCATGTACTTTCCCACAGTTGAATGGCTGGTGTTTGCAATTGGCTTAAATGGAAAGTTTTGCATGGGCATCATTCAAGCTGAAGCCTGTAGTGATTGTGTTTCTCTTTCCTTCCTTCCTTTTTCAGCCCAGCTTCTCATATCTGTTTCCAACCGGTACTTGCAGCTATCTCTGAGGCCACTGGCACTGGTTGTTATCAGAGAAGGGAGCAACTACCAGGTGGATCCAGTGCAGGAATTCCTAATAGTCAAGGGATAGTGCTCAGTGGAATGGAGGCCACCCTTTGACACCGATACCCGTGCTCCTGTCAGAGAATCCTGTTGCTTCACCATGCTCAGCAGGAATGCTGCTGCTGCTACTTTCTAATTAGGTCATTCAGTGCTGCTAGGAGGGAATGAGCATCAGTTACAATATTGCTAAAGCTAAGTTGTTTCTGAGAAATTTAATAAATTTGCAGAATAAAGCAGCAGTCGCCCACACAGCCACAGCACAAGATGCAGAGGGTGTCAAGAGGATGTGGCAACCTCAATAATATGTGAACAGTCATCATTATCAGTTGGCAAAAAAAAAAACAAAAAAAACAACAACAACAATTGATCTAAGGCTTATTCAATTACATCCTGCCTGCATTAAAGCAAGTGTTTAGAAAACTTCTGTGAATAATAATCAGCAAATGACAATAGGAAAGCTTTGCACAGAACAGTCCTGGATTGCACAGGTAACAGTGAAAACGGTAGAGAAAAGTTAAGACAGAAAAAGAGAAGGAAAAGCAGAGGAACACTGTTCACTCTTGTGTGTACATGAGTTCTCACATTCACATTGGGTGGGAATGTGAAAATAATTGTCAAGAGAGTACAGTAAATACTCTTCTTGCTCAGTTCTGAGAGGGGGTTTCCTGCTGTTTCTTTAAATGGCCGTTCGCATGTACATGTTTGCACGTACAGCTTCAATAAGAAGCTCTTTGCAGCGTATGTTAAAAATAAATTAAAATAGACTTGGTGCTTCCTGCACATTGATTACTGTGGCATAATCTATCTCTCATGCAGCACTCCATGTCAGAAGCCTTCACAGCATTTGTGAGGCTCAGTGTTGTTACCTGTTTTATACACAGCAGAAAGTGGCACTTACAAGAGCCGTCGCTCAGTGCAGCCATTAGAAAAGCGTCAGATAGGTCTTGACTTTCAGTGCTGTGCCCAGCCTCTGAACTACACAGCCTTGCTAATAGGACTTACTAGCATTCACTAGTGGCACACACAAGTTTACTGTGGTCTGAATGATTCAGCGACTTCTTTGAAAAGAACAGAATCTGTTTTTAGCTCAAAGAAACCTAGAAGTGCCTTTACTCTCAGATGACACTGAATGCAAGAGGCTCATGATCTAAACATAACACATGGAACAAGGCAGAATGTAATGCTAATGGTGATACAGAAGGGCAAGATTCAACGTGTGTCATTCCCCTGTCATTCAAATAAGTGTGATCTGCATCAGGCAGTGGCTACAGCTCTTTGAGGTTCATAGCCCCTGCCTACCCCTGCTTGCTTTGTGCCACTGTGAGAGAAAAGACTAGCCTGGGGCATAGTCACACAAAAAAGATCTGGTGAAGATTTGCCCTGACCCTCTTCCCAGGGTACTGCGAAGTGACAGAGTAGGGTTGTGTGTGTGTTGACTGCAGATACAGCATGTAGAGGAAGAAGCTGACTTTGCTTTCAGAGAGAGGCAGTTTCCTTGAGAAGAGATCTGGGGAGAACTGATGGCTTGGGGGGGTACATCTGGCTGATGAGCCAGGAATGCAACTGTAGGCAGTGGCATTCTTTGCAGCATGGAGAAAACTGTAAAGCCATGCCAATTTCTCAGAACTAATTGTTTTCAAATATTTTCAATTATTTGAATCAGTTCTCCTGCAGCTGCCTGTGCCTGGTAATAGCAGCATCTCATGCCCTGCTGTTTTGGAGGAGTCAGTGATTTTAGAGTTTGACTTTGCCTCTAAAAGCATAAGGTTTTTGGTAATTTCTGTGGAAACTCACACCTGATGCTACTAACCTCTCTCCCTCTCTCTGTATCTGTTTTTATGCAGAAGTGGGTTGGTACATCCCATACGAAAATGACCCTTGATTTCTTTGAATGGGGAATAGTCCTTCCGGAAGTCCTAGAAGTTTACAGCATGTGTCCTTCCAACAGTACCTCACAAGAGGAGATGAGTGAGCTAAAAAAAGATCTGCCTTCTAAGCCTTATATGTCCTGCCTGACTACCCCGGGTCAGGATAGCCAGTCCCTGCTGTCTAGTGTGAACAGTAGCAGTGGGATTCAGGACCGGTCATATGGACATTTGTCTATTGACACTGTGACTGTAGCTGATGAATTTACACCTTGTAAATGTCAATGCAACTGTAACCGTATGTATAGGGGACATGAGCATACCAGTGATGAAGACAGTGCTGGAGAAAATGGTTACCCCAAGGTTAACATTGATGATGAAGACAGAAAACTATCCAGTGACTTCCATCTGTCTGACTTGAGTACACAGGACAAAATACTTGCCTCAGGCTCTGTGTCCACAGACCACCTGAGGACAAGTGTCCCAACCCACCAGAAAGTTGAAAGGGCTTTGGAAGCAGGGATGGGAAGCATCCTAGAAGCCCTTTGCTTGCATCCTAATCAGTGGGATTTGGAAAATCCAGCTTCTCTACCTTCTCCTGATGGTGAAAGTGTTTCCTACAGTGAAGTCTGCTATGACTTTTTCCTTCACAGTGCAAGGCCTGGTGACAGTTATCCTACAATCTGCCTAGATTTGGACACTATTGACAGTGGCTTTGCAGACTCGGACTGTGGGAGTCCAGTTGACTGTGAATTTGAGCAAAACAGTCAGACCAACAGTGGGTCCATTCCTCTTGAGCAGGAAGGAGAGGACTTTCCACGGAGCTATGTCAAGCAATGGGTCTCTCATCGCTCTGACAACCCTGTCAATGGGACACAGTAACTAAGGACCTGATGTTCCTTTGCAGATTGTAGGGCCTTTTCTATACAGTACCAGAAGCAAAATGTCAGCAAAATTCAGAAGAAAAAAAAAAAAAAACAACAAAGTTTACTTTGTGTAAGCTCTACTGCATACAACTGAAAACTATTAGGTCCATAGAAATGTAATGCCTATTTCTGTTGCCACTTATCTTGTTAATGCTGTATCAAAAGTAACATAATTAATTTCTTATAAGCTTATAAATAGTACAAAACTTTAAAGTAATTTTCCCTGGCACGACTTGAATTTAGATGTACATGAATCTTAGAAGCATAATCTATGGCAAGCATGTTTGTTATATTGACACTCCTTTACCCTTTCTTAACAACACAGCTATTGTTACTTTTCCTAACACAATCCCCTTTAAACCCAGCTGTATTAGTTCATATTAATTATGGATTATACCCATCCCTGTTCATGAGGTATAATCAAAACCAATTCCCATAATCAGAGAATGATGAGTCCAAGAGACCAATCATAACTCTGGTTTTAGAGGCTTTGCAGGTAGAGTCTATGAATGAAGAGTCTTCAAAACATAATTCCAGATTAATTCTTTCTACAAAGGCTTCCTACTGAATCAGCATCTCTCCCAGCATTTTCCAAGCACACTAACTGTAACACTTAACTATTAACTGTAATTAACTAACTATAACAGCTGTTAGAGCTATGCAATAATTTCAGGAATGTTGTCCCACCTGGATATGCCTGCAACTCCATCTTCTGCATTGGACCTGGTCTGCTGAAGTTAACGGGTAGGTAGCACAAAGCTTAGTCAATTTCTGCTGGATCATAAAGCCAACCATAAAACTGCTAGTTGCATTGCAACTGATTATTTCCCTCTTATGTCTCTGTATGTCTGTTTAGATTATCATCGTCTTAAAAAGTTAATTCAATACTGATATTGAATGTGAACACCTACATGTTATGCAGGTATAGTGCTACTAACCCAAGTACTGCTTGGCTGCAGAAGATCTTACTCTGAGAGAACCTGTGTGATTAACAATGTATGTTTCCAGTGCAGTAATAATCTGTTCTTGTTGTGATACCAATAAACTCTATTCTCTCTCCACAAGCTTTTACTGAAGACTTCTGGCAACCCCAGAGCTCTCTGTGGTGGTTTCGTGTGGTGGGCAGCTGAACTTCACCTCGCTCCCCCTCCTCAAAGGAGGAGGGAAAGAAAATACTATGAAAAATGACTCAGGGGTTGAGATAAAGAATGGGAGACTGCACACCAACTACCATCACAGGGAAAACAGACTCAGTGTAGGAAGATTTAATATAATTTGGGGATTGGACTAGATGATCTATCAAGGTCCCTTCCAATCCCTGACATTATGTGTGATTCTGTGTAATTTAGTTCCTATTACTAACAGATTAGAGCAGTGAAAAATGAAAAGCAAACAAAAACTACCCCTACTACCACCCCCAGTCCATCCTCTTCTGCCTCCTCCCCCTGAGTGGCACAAGAGAATGGCAGTTGCGATCAGTCCATAACGCTGTGTCATCTGCCGCTCCTTCATGGTCATTATATTCCCCTGCTCCAACAGGGGCTCCCTCCCATGGGATGCTGTCTTTCCTGAACTGATTTTATGTGAGTTTCCCACAGGCAGCAGCTCTTCAAGAGCTACTCCAGTATGGGTCCATACCATGGGGTCCATCCGTCAGGGCAAACTGCTCCAAGATGGGTCCTCCCCAGGAGTCAGCTCCTGCCAGACCTCCTGATCCTGCATGGGCTTCTCTCCATGGGTTGCAGTGTGGAAAATCTGCAGGGGGACAGCCTGCTCCAACACAGGGAAACTTCTGCTCTGGAACTTGGAGCACCTCCTCCCCTCCTTCTTTGCTGTTGTCAGTGTCTGTGGGATTGTTTCTCGCTCCTCTCTCCCAGCTGCTGTGACACAGCCACTTCACTGTTTTTTTTTTGTTGTTGTTGTTTGTTTGTTTTGTTTTGTTTTGTTTTGTTTATTTGTTTTTTCCTTTCTTAACTACACTCTCCTAGAGGTGCAATCACAATTGGTCATTGGTTTACCTTTATCCAGCAGTGGGTCCCTTTTGGAGCCAGCTGGAACTGCTTCTTCTCTAACTTAGGGCACCTTTTGGACTCCTCACAGAAGCCACTCTTACTGGCCTCCGGTGATCAAAACCTTGCCACATAAGCCCAACAGACTGTTTTAACAAGAGGGAGCACTGTAATGAAAGGAAGCTGTTTCTTTCACAATTGAGTGCTAAGAGATTTTTTCTATGCAACCTCCATTTGATTGTTTACAACAACCATGGTGCCACCCACACTGCCTTTTGAACCTACAGGGTTAAAATTACATTAGCTTTACTGTTGTACATTAGTTTTGTACATTAGTTTTGTACATTAGTTATACATTAGCTTTGCCCATGTTGTTTTTACTTCCTCAATGTACCTTTTAGCTCTGGGCTTCCTGGGCACAGACCCAAGATATCAGTGGGTTTGGTTTCTTCCCTCCTTTTTTTTCCGTTTTTATATTTTTGCTGTCTTCTGCCACAGAAGGCATTATCTTTGCATGCTTACGCATTCTTCCTGCTGCGGTGCAAGTACCCTGCATGCCCGCCACGAGGCAGCAGAGGAGCGAGCTAACTCCACTTCCTTGTTGAGCTGTCTGCCCCGCAGTGTCCTGTAAAGTCTGCATGCACCGTCTATGCAAATATACGGAGCAGAAGCATTGCTGCTGGTCTGTTACAAGTATTCTGCAGCTGCATCAACAACAGGTAGTGGCACTTCAGAAACAACGTGGTGGTAACTGGCCAAGGATGTTTAGTGGAGGGGAAACCTGCCTATCTTTCTGGGCCCTTTTACACCTCAGTACTGCACACCCCATGCCTTAGATAGGATCATCGGCCCCAGAATTGCCAAAGTATCTGTTTCTGTCATTGCTACATAGTCTGTAGCTTCACATATGATAGAAGTCACTGTTTCGCAGCTATGTTAGACTGGAAGTTGCCTCTGGTCATCCTAGGAGGCAGACTTTGTGAGCAGAGAGGAACTTCCACGATATGTGGCACAAGGATGTGAAAATAAGGGAGACTATTCCCTTGGAGGCAGGCTGTAACGATTAAGCTTTCGGCAAAACATTTGTTGACACTGTGGATGTGGACATTTTTGAAGTGGCAATGGTGGTGTTTTTTTGTTTTGTTTTGTTTTGTTTTGTTTGTTTGTGTGTGTGTGTGTGTGTTTGTTTTCTTTTTGCCGTGGCTCCTAGTAGCAAACTTTGCAAGTGTCCCTGACATAACAATACCTAACTTGGAAAAAACATGTACCCTGTGGAATGTTAGGGCCATTGGTCATGTTGAAAAACCCATGTTTTGTTGTTCTTTGGGAGGCTTTCCCTGCTCTCAAACAAGCTGTCTGTAAAATGTTTCACTCCACCCTTCCGTGACCTCAGTAACCCACAGTGGCAGATTCCTGAACAGCAGTGTAAAGCACAGGAAAGAGTTATGATAATAGTGTGGTAAAGGCATTTGATGTTTCAATGTTTAGCCAAGCAGGCCTCCCTAAAAGAACAGAGATTACAATAGGCTGCTTAAGCTGTCCATTCCAGGGGAATCTGCTTAGCGACTACTGCCATGCTAAGGTAATCAGGTGATCTAAGTTTAGCATACCTTGCAGAGGTGAGTGCAACCATGCATTAAGCAGTGTGATGAGATTGTAAAAGGTGACAGCAGCACCACCCATGTAGACAAAGTATTTGTATTACTCTGGTCTGCTGTGCTCAGTGTGGTATTCACAATGGTCAGGGACATGAAAGTGTCCTTGTTTATGAGTCTAACTGAGACTATCTCAGGCTCAAAAATGTGCATTATTGTACAGGCCAAGAAATGCAGCACAGACAGACCAACTACTGCATGCCCCATTAGCTTCCACTGGAATATGATGCTTATCCTGTTTACTACTTCTGCCTTTATGGTGATCCAGTATCAGAGGAGATAGCAAAATATGCATGCACTTGACACTAGGCCAGCAGCAGACAAACAGTGACAATCCTATCCAAATGGAGCATTTGGGGTGGGAGGGAAAAAAATGCAGGTTAAACACAACATAAAACATTAACTGGGGAGAAACAGTGCTCACTGGTGAGAAACACTGAAGTTAGTCATGGGAGAGCCAGTAAATGAGTGCTTGAAAACATGAAAGAAGGGTCTGAGCAGCCTTTAGAAAACAGGAATTCAGTTAATGGTCTTTGGGCCAAGTATCACTTGAGGTAGGGGTAAAAAGCAACCTACAAGTAGCTGTGGTATTGTCAGAAATACTACTCTGTCTTTCAGAACAGTGATGTGAAGGGAAACTAGGAAGGTAAGTTTATGCCTTGCTGTTTGAACCAAACTTCTGCTGAATGTTTGTACTGATTTTTCTGTCTGCTGTAGAGGCAGTGGGTCAAAGCTGTGGGTATCAGATGGCTGTAGCATCCTTATGGTGATATACAGCAGTAGGGGGAAGATGCAAGGATACAATTTGTCTCTAAGAGATTAAATGTTTTCTGTTGTAGTAGCCAATCTACAGGTGTGTGGACAGTTCTGGTGCAGCAGGTGTTACTTGTTCTGGACAATTCTGGTGCAGCAGGTGTTACTTGCTCTGAAAACTGCTTGCATTTTAAGGCTTTTCTGTTTCTGCTCCCATTTGTGATTGATGGAACAATAAATAGTCTAAAATATGTTCATATGGGTACTTTTAGGGCCTCATGTGAGTTGGCAGGAGTCTTACTATGTGAAGAAGGCCTGAAAGCAGGTACTTGGAGAATCGACATTGCTCTACCTGCAATAGAAACATCTATCTCTGTTTCTACATTGCCCCTGTCCCTCTCTCTTGGCCCATGAAGCTAATGCTGAGAGACTGTTATTCAGTCAGTCCTTTGCTTGCATCTCTCTTTCCTTTCTCTGGAACCAGACCTGCTTACATGACTGACTTGATGAATCCTAGCTCTAACACTGTCACTGCAGCATTTCACCTGAATATGGAAAGATCTGTTCCCTATGCGTTGTAGGATATGGACAGGGAAGCATTGCAGTGCGTGTTTGCCTCTGATGTTTCCCAAGTTGCCCCTTTAAGAACAGTGAAGAAAAAGGCTGTGGAGGAAGAAGAAGTTAGCTCAGGGGTGCCTCAGGTGTTCAACTGTTTGCAAAGTTGGGCATCACTGTTTGCACAGTTGGGCAGAGGCCTTGGATGGAAGCAGTCTCACTTCACATTCAGACAGGACTAGGAAATGGCTTTAGGTCACTTACAGCTCTTTTGATGATTTTTTTTTTTTTTTTAAATGAAGTGTTCTAAGAAGGTACTTTCATATTCAGCAAATTATTTGGCCTTCTAAATGTTAACCCCTTAGCAGAAATTCCTCAGTTTCTCCATCCCTAATGAGTAATTGCAGATGCAGCTACTTTAACTCAATCTGATAATCTGAGCAGTTTTTCATTGGTTCTTGAGATTATCTTTAAAATCGGGCACAGTAAGCTCTGCTTTATTATGCCACTGCTGCTACTGCCTGATCATCAAACCACACAGCCTAAACTATCAAGGGACAGAAACAGTGTGAAAAGTGAAGTTTCCTTTGAGCTGGTAAGATGGTTTAACATATTTCTGTGCTATGCATGCCAATAAATAATGGTAGGGTACGTCTACTGAGCAAAAAGCAAGATATGAAAAATAATTTGTTAGCCTAAATGAGGGATTGTATATTATTTCTGCTACTAGGATCCTAGAACAATCAAACCACCAGAAGGGTCTTTGCGCTTTTTTTCTGCTAGATTGCTGAGCACAATACCACACCCTATCACATTGATTCTGGCTTGGAGTGTGTTAGAAAGAGGTATTTTGAGGAAATTATCTTTCACACTCTTCTCTGTGTGAAAAACATGAATGTAAATAAAACCAGACAAAATATCCCTCAGTGTTTGGGAATATGTATGAACTATGGATGAGGAAATCCTATTACTTTCTTATTCTCTAGCAGTTCACATGCTTACAGGCTGATCATGTGAGTGCACCACATGCACTTGACATGTTTCTGTCAGATGTGCTCAGAGACCTAGGTATTCAGCAGGTAGATAATGTATAATTTTTTCTTAAAGAAAAGACAGGACAGGACAGGGAAGGGAAGGGAAGGGAAGGGAAGGGAAGGGAAGGGAAGGGAAGGGAAGGGAAGGAAAAGTACTTGTATCCCAAAGTATTTGCTTGTAGGTAAGGGTGACTAAAGGAGGGCTAAAGATGATCAATTATATTTCTTAATAGTAGAATGGATTGTTCTGGAGAATGTGCACTTGGGACTAGCCTTCATGAGTGGAGAAATGTGCATGTTGGTACAGGCACACTATTGCCTGTCAGTGTTTAGTTTCCTAGGTATAATTTAGTGTCCTGCCTTTCTTTAGTGCCTGTTGCTGCTGCCTCTCACAAAGACTGAAGCAAAGGAAGGGGTTCTGGCCAAGGGAGAGTAGGTCATTTGTGGCTAATTGCTAACATGTAAGGGACAGAAGTAGAGTATTAAATGGGCCAGATCTGCTGTGCCTGCTCCCACTGCATACCACTCGTATCTTAGTGTGGGAGGGAGAGCAGAGCACATTTCTGGAATAGCACAGAGCAGCTGCAAAATCAGAGCCTCAAGCCTCTAACTTCCTCTAAGCTTTAGGTGAGCACAGCAGATCATACGAGTTGCAACAGAAAAAAAAATGCACTGACAAAACAGTATACTCCATATAATGACGGCAGAGGTGGGCTAAGACCTAGGAGTCCTGCATGTCTGTTGTGCCTCTTTCAACTAGAGGAGCATAATTCTTTTGTTTGCAGAGCTAACATATGATATCACTACATGTATCAAATAAAATTCAAGCATGTTTAAGATTCTTATGCACACAGTTCCACATGAAACCCTTGCTTTCATGACACTTCAGTTTCATATTTTATTTGGCCTTTGTAGAACTGATCTTGTCTTACCTGTATCCATTCAAAGGTGAGTGACACAAGGATCCTTTTTTGTACCTGTCCCTTTGACCCTATTACGTTTCTCTACACAATTCTTCCGTCTTCCTCTCTGTCATGCCAAATATAAGCTTCTTGTCCCCACCTTCAAGTCACTGACCACCTCCCCTTTTGCTCGTCATCTGTCACTTCCATACCAATAAGTCAACTCTATGATACTAGCTTCCAGCTCCAACTAGATCATCAAACAAATCCCACTTTAATTTCTACCACGCTATAGCTTATACTCTGAAGGTGCTGCTTACAGTTCTCTCTTGAGCTACTTCAGCCTCATTCTTCAAGTCTCTCCTTAAAGCTCTGCTTTGCTGTGTTCCTATAAACCAGATAATGTTTAGGCTGACCATATGCTGAGACTGTAGGAACCACAGTCTTGTGTTACTTTCCCTCTCTATAGTATCTATCAATTCATTTATTTTACCCTATACATTCCTAAAAGCAAAGGCCATCTTTTTATTGTGTGTTGTAGTGGACCTCAGATATGGGGGGTGAGACAAAACTTTCAATACAGATTTCTGGTAATACAACAGAAAAACATAGTAATAACTGTCGACCATCTGTTCATCTGTTGATTTGGGAAATCTATGTTCATTGTAAAAATTCTGGTTTAAATGACTTTTGGGAAATGGAAGAAGCTGATAGAACTACAGAAAGGGGTGAAAAAGGCGTGGCTACAAAGCCTCATTTTCTTGACCGGATAGTAGGCAGAACTCTGTCCTGGAAACATGGAAAGGTTGGAAATACTGCTGAAACCAGCTGAGATCATCTAGGAACTCGAGGTCACCAGTCATATGCTGATGCTGAACCAACACCTGGAATTGTGGCAGCACACCTGGTGTGTCCTTTCAGGACTTTCCCTCAGACATTTATTTGGTCTTTTTCTTCTATGCAGATTGAAGGTGGTTCTGCTTTCCTCTGGCACTCCCACACCTCCACCACTCCAAGTTTTCACTCGGCTTTTCTGCCTCCACCCACAAGTAGGGCTGTATTGCAGGAACTGGGGGTTGGAAAACACACACACACACACACACACAAAAAAGGCATCAAGCAACCTGTCTAGGAAATTGATGTGTATTCCAGTCCCCCAGCTGCTGTAATGCTGGCCTTGGTACTAGGATATATGGCAGACCGCCCATGCCAACAAGATATTGCCTAACAATTTGATATCTTTCAGTGATGAGATGACTAGCTGGGTAGATGAGGGGAGAGTGGTGGATGTGGTCTACCTTGACTTCAGCAAGGCTTGACACTGTCTCCCATAACATCTTCATGGACAAGCTCTGGAAGTGTGGCCTAGATGAGTGAACAGTGAGGTGGATTGATGGCAGAGCTTAGAGGGTTGTGCTCAGTGGTGCAGTCTAGGTGGAGGCGCGTAGCTAGCAGTGTCCCCCAGGAGTCAGTACTGGGTCCAGTGTTCAACTTATTCACCAGTGTCCCGGACAATGGAATAGAGTGCACCCTCAGCCAGTTTGCTGATGACACAAAGCTGGGAGGAGTGGCTGATACCCCAGAGAGCTGTGCTGCCATTTAGAGTGACCTTGACAGGCTGGAGAGTTGGGCCGAGAAGAACCTCATGAAGTTCAATGAGGGCAAGCAAGGGGTCCTGCACCTAGGGAGGAATAACCCCAAGCACCAGTACAGGCTGGGGGCTGACCTGCTGGAGTGCAGCTCTGCAGAGAGGGATCTGGGAGTCCTGGTGGCCAGCAGGCTGACCATGAGTCAGCAATGTACCCTTGTGGCCAAGAACACCAATGGTATCCTGGGCTGCATTCGGAAGAGTGTTGCCAGCAGGTCAAGGGAGGTGATCATCCCCCTCTGCTCAGCCCTGGTGGGGCCACACCTGGAGTATTGTGCCCATCTGTGGGCTCCCCAGTACAAGAGGGACATAGAACTACTGGAACGAGTTCAGAGGAGGGCTATGAAAATGATGAGAGGACTGGAGCACCTGTCGTATGAGGACAGGCTGAGAGAACTGGGCCTGCTTAGCCTGGAAAAGAGAAGACTGAGGGGAGGCCTAATTAATGCGGGAGAGGGTGTCAAGAGGATGGAGCCAGTCTTTTCAGTTGTGCCCAGCGACAGGATGAGAGGCAGTGGGCACAAACTAAAACACAGGTGGTTCTGGATGAATATGAGAGTGCATTTCTTTACTGTGAGGGTGACAGAGCACTGGAACAGGTTGCCCAGAGAGGTTTTGGAGTCTCCTTCTCTGGAGTTATTCAAAATCCGCCTGGATGTCATCCTGTGCAATGTGCTCTAGGTGATCCTGCTCGGCCGGGGGAGTTGGACTAAATGATCTTCAAAAGTCCCTTCCAGCCTTGGCCATTCTGTGATTCTGTAATGGTGCTGGCATATAATCTGTTTCTGCTTGGTTCCTGGCTTGATTATCAGCTTCTTGTTCCCCTGCTGCTGAGGAAAGCACGGACAGTGTTCAGAGATGATGTCCACTGGGAGGAATGATGAATGACTGCTAGGCCACTGAGAATCCCTTCCCTCCATTCTCACCAAAACTGAAAAGTGCTTTTGCACTTGTCTTGTTTTTGCCCCGTTCTATGTCTGTCTTCTGTCCAGCACCAAGAGAAGCTGAGGATTGAATTGTTTCTGTTCACCTTGCCACACGGCTTATCAAAACTTTCATATTGACTTACAGAAGAGAAAGAGAATGTCACTGAAGCAGTCGTTTTCTTCTGGGACTTGCCAAGACAATTTATCTGTGATCAGTCTGGGCTATCGTTAGCTCAACCTGCCTTAGGGTAATGTGGCAATTCCTTTTCCACAGCTGAGCAATTTGAAATGTGGGAAGCATAGTGAGTACAAAAGATAAGAAAAGGCACCTAAGTATCTGTAGGATTCTAGTAAAACTTACAGTAATTTTCTTGCAAGACTAAACTCATCGCAAGTATGAGCAGACACAACACAGATAGCTTCACTAATGTCTCTGCTTGAAACCAGCAGTTCCCCTGAGCACTACAAAATGTATAGGTATTTTCTTTCTTCATAAGTGAGAAGTGTCTGGCTGTTACTGAGAAGTAATTCTGCCAGTTTGTGAACAAGTTTTTTAGAATGTACACTAGGTTTTCCCTTGCAAGGCTGAAGATTGCAGATGGTAAGAGAATGCTATCATGATCACTTTAGCACAGAAAATTGTATCTAACAAGTCCTGTATCAGTCTCAGGGCTTCCGTCTGAACAAAGGATTATTATTTTATATATATATATATATATATATATATATATACATACATACATATATATATATATATATATATATATATATTTATTTATTTATTTATTTTTATTTTTTTAGATACCTAACCAAGATTTACAGACTACAAGCACTGGATCTTATGTTTAGGCAAGAGGTTTCAGCAATAAATGAAGTGTCTCTTTGCACGAATTCTACTGTCTGACTTCATTTCTGTCTGACTATCCATCTTCAGTGTCTAACTTCTGGATTCTTTCATCTTTCTCTAGTAGATTTTGAAAAGATGCTTTTCTCCTACCTGAAATACTCTTCCCTTGTAGCTACTTCTGGATGGTATAAAATCGCTTCTTAACTTTTCCTTTGGGTAAGAGATTTAGTTAATATTTAGTTGTTCATTCTGAGGAAAGTTATTAAATCATTCTCATAAGCCTTTTCAGAATTAGTTTTTAATCTTTTTTCAGCATTATTTTGTTCAAACTGTGGAGCCCAATAGAAGAACTAATAATAGCATTATGAATGCTACATGTAGCTGCAGTAACATTTCTTTTAATTGATAAGCATCCATGGTCTGTGTGAAAGCTCTTGTAATTGCATTAATGTACTGCAGGCTCTTGTTCACTGGTTATCTGCTACTTCCCCAAAATCATTTTCTGAAAAACTTTTCAGAATTCAGTTTTCCATTACCCAGTTATAACAAATATTCATAACTTCTAACATACAAATAGTTTTTTGTTTGTTTGTTTTGTTTTGTTCCAGGTGAGATAGACAGCCAGTAAATGTCTGGCACATTTCATATATTGCAGAACTGAATAAAGAGTTGGGGTTTGGGTGGGTGGGTGGGTGGGGGAGGAAAGAAGGGGAGTGGAAGGAGTGTTAACAGATTAGCTATGTTTACTTGGAAATAGGTAATTAGCTGTTTTAGTTATTTTGACATATGTTTGTTCATTTGTGTGCTTGGGCAAGTTCTTGTAAGCATATGTATAATTCTACTTGTGCATGTACTTATGCAGCTCTCTCTATTTCATATTTAGTCAGTCTTACTGTACTTATCACAGGGATCATATGCAACCCTGATTAGAATGATAAACAGGAGAGACTTCATGCCTCCCAGCCTCCCCCAGCTAAACTCAGCTAACAGTGACACTTCCTCTCTACAACCCCCACTCTGAAGAAGGTCTGCAGCAAAACAGGATATATACCAAAAAAAAATAAAAAAATAAAAAAAAAAATAAAAAATGAGGAGGTGGTGAAATGGAAGCCAGAAAGATTCCTTTTCTTTTGATCAGTTTCTGATACGTTGTAGTTATTTTACTATTTAATTCAGGATAGTAACACTGTAAGGAAGCATAATTATAGGAAAGAGGTTGATACAGGGATGCTGCAGTTTAGTTGTCTGAAATCTGGGACTGGAAGGATACTTCTGGTCATGGAGTCTAGCTTCTGCTGCTGTAGACATCATATCATTTAATAACTTCAATAAAACAATACCGCTAATTGAAATATCACACTCCTTGCTAAGCATAGGCTCTTAGTCATTCACTCCCATTTAAGTCTACTTCAGATCTCTTGCTGTTTAGAAACCATATTCATTTGGTAGCCTGGCTATACCCATTTGGCCTTGTGCAAATGTTGTTCCTAGTGCTTTTCCCATCCTGATGTTTATCTTTCTCTTTTCCCCAACTGCTTCTGAAAGAGAGAACATAGGCCCTGTCATTGCCCAAAGCAAGCCAAGCTCTTTCAAGTCAGAACATTTTCACAGACTTCTGTTACCCCAAACCAAGAGCTCAGTTCAGTATCCATGCTGGGCAAGCCGTGCAAACAACATTCCTCCAATATTTTCGAAAATTTCAAATAACCCTTTTTGTCTAAATTCAAAAGTGGACTCTTTTTACACACTCCACATTTTCTGGGCTCCACGTTGAGTCATGGGCTTCCTAGAGCAACACACTACCTGCAGAGGTTCTGGGCTTTTTCGGAGCATTAAGGAAACAGCAAATATTGCAAGCTGTTAAAACATCTTATTTTTTTTTTAATATAAAAATTTATACGATTTTTGCATCTTATAAAACACCATGTATTACTGACTAGGTCAGGTTTCTTCATATTAAACTTCTGTTTGCTGGTTTATCATGAAATCAGAAACTTTATACGGAATTTCTGTTTAAGAAGAAAGACAGGGACTCCCATGTAACCTCCGAGAGAGCCAGCATTCAATATTGCACACTGCAATATTTCAAATATCTATACAGTCTCCTTCAGTACACTGGGGCACTGACCAGGTCCTAAGTATTCCACATCCCAGATGAGTGCTTTGACCCGGAATATACCAGTTGTTCTCTCCATTTCTGCCTTCTGAAATTTTCTTTGGCAGCAAGGAAATACTTATGGGAAGAAAATATGATCCCAAGATTCTCATGCTGTAGGTGAACAACTTGGTTATCTGCCTGGAATTGTGGCTTCTTGTGTGTGTGTGTAAGAGAGAGAGAGAATTATGATAGATCTTGGTTTTATTCAGCTATGAAATGGGAAAAAGTCTAAAACAAATAGTCTTTAGGATAGAACACCCTTTTCTATCCCAGCTTTTGTACCTGACTTCAAATTCTTTCACAGTAGCTCAAGGCAACTCCAAGTGGCTTAAAGAAAGCATCCCTCAAAAGTTTCATGACATAAACAGCTCAAGAAAATATTCCTCTTGTAAAGAGAAAACAGATTTCTGCCAGGAAACTGCCAGAAAAAAAAAAAAAAAAAAAAAAAAAAAAAAAAAAAAAAAATCAGTTAACTCCGTCAAGTTTAAATAAATAAATAAATAATCCATCATTAAATGTAGAGAGCAGTGTTTATTGTGTAGATGGCTTTCAGAAAGCAACTACTGGTGATGGATGAGCTCATGAGAGGAAAACCCACTAAAGTCTTGAAGATGCAGAAATTATGTCTGTTCCAGAAGGTCTGAGCTGCAAATGTCTGGAGGCTGAAAAGGTTCTCAGAGAAGAATATCTATGCTTTCCCTATCATTACATTTTTCTTTAAGCACCTGTTTTCAGTTACTGTCGGAAACAGGACACATGAGCCTTTATTCTGATCCACTGTGGCTCTGTACTGCTCTTAAATTCTCATGTGCCAGGTGCATGCAAAAAAAAAACCAACAAAACCCAATAACAACAACAAACAACAGAAAAGGGAAGTAGAGAAAAAGACTAAAAAACATCAATTGGCAGGAATTAAAAATCTGCTTTCAGGTGGCTAGTGCTTTATATTCCTATGCAAAGTAATATTTGCTGCTGTGAGAAGAATAGTCCCTATAGATGACACGGCATACCTGAGTTGGTGCCATGTCTGACAGACAAGGTCAGCTTGTATCAGGCTTCAGCCTGCTGGTACAACTACTGACAAAACTGCTTCTAACGACTGGTCTAATTTAGGTACTGTCTGGAATGGGACAAGATGTGCAGCAGCTGGGCCTTCACCTGTGCATTACTGCTGTGCTACTCCTTGGTAGAGGACAAGGCAGAGGTAAGGGAAACCTGGAATAGGTCCACGGTGGGAGGGGTGTATACATGTTCTTGTTTTCATACACAGACACAAAAGAATAGAATACAAGATCTTGTGATTGCACTTTCTGAGGTCCCAGGAACTAGTACACCTGTCTGACAATGCCAGACTTAAGCAACTGAAAACATACTGGACAAACTGAGCAGCAGAAAGAACAGCCACTGTTTGAGGTCCCTGCCCTAAATTCTTACACTCATCTCATGCAGAGAAGTGTGGTACAGAGGAAAATTATCATGAGGAAGGCATCAGTAAAGGAAGCACTAGCAAGTAATATGTTTTAGGCCTTATCAGGTGGTAACAAATGCAGCTCTGGTCTCCTTCTTCTGCAGAGTTCCCTGGCAGTCTGAGCTGCCTGAATAACTATGTGACTACTGTGAATTGCATGTGGGCAATGGAGGAGCCTGTGGGCGATGGACCTTTCTACCTGCACTTCACAAAGTAAGAGTTGCAAGCCAAGAGTTATCTGTTGTAGTCCCAGCACTGGTGTGGGAAGTACAGCATGGAGGAGCCAAGATGGGGCCTGGCTGGGTGCTTTGCTTGCTTTGGGCACAGCCATCTCAGCCATCTCACTGCTACAGTCCTGGGCTGCCTTGGTAGCTGCTCCCTTCGCAGCAGTCTTTCATGGGCTCACAGTCACCATCGGTACACCAGAGGTTTCGTACACGCAGCCGCACAGTCTCCTGCAGGCTCAGGGTGGTCCATCAGTCTGGTGTCATCTGCTGGCAAGGGCCTCTCAGTGCAGAGAGCCGTCCCTTTGCAGCCTTGGTTCTCAACCATTTGAGGACTTCCAGGCTGATCCTACATGAAGCTGCCTCATCAGTTTCTAATCATCTTGCTGCCTAAGGAGTAAACTCCTACTGGTTTAATCTGGTTCATATATATGCTTAAAGGATTTTGAAAGTCTAGTGAATTATAAGTTTTAGTAATGAGTTTATTATGTGAATAATTTTATCTCTAACAGAAGAAAAACAATGAATAGTTTGCTAGGTGACAGGATAATAAGCATTGTGATACGGTAATTCAAGATTAATGTGTTTACATGATGTAATAAAGTTGTCTTGATTACTAATAACTAGTAAACTGTTACACAAGGGAAAGCCACTCCAGCATTAGATGCCTTATTGTATTCTGATATAGTTAAGTAAAAAATAGTGTAACTCTTAATGATACATTATTTTAAATCTATGGAAAAAATGCCAACTTGATAAACTATGGTATCCAGTTTATTGTGGGGCCACAAGCAACATGAAAAATTTACTAATAAATGGCTATATTAGGTGGTTTACCCCCTCCCCTTCCCCCCATGCCCCACCACTTTCCTGGCAGCAATACATAGCAGCTGCAGGGAAAGTTAACATTCCAGCCAGACCCAGTACAACCTCTCACTTTGAGAGGGAGCAGGTGGCAGGTGCAGAGTACTACGTGCAGCTGCTGGGAGGCTTAGTGCTCTCAGTAGTGAGGTTATGAGGCTGTTTCCTTCCTCCTTCTTCAACCCTGCTGTCCAGCCATTTTTAACATTGCTTTCTCTGCTGTTTGCACTACGGAGGGACATACTCTTCCTGAACGTGTTGCTGTGCAAAGCTGCCACACTTCTTTCATAAACCATAAAGCAGTTAATTATATGACTTAAAAGAAACTTTCAGCCTTTTTCATTTTTTTTAGCCTCTGGTCAAAGGGACAAAACGCCAGCTGCCAACTGACTGCCAGAGACAGTATGCAGAAACAGTATCATTGCACAATCCACTTAGCCAGCCAGATCTTGGAAACAGATGGTTATAGAGTCTCTCTCCAAGGCAACTTCTTTGGGAGTAATCATACATACATTACCTTTCCAGAATACAATCCCCGTAAGCACAGTAAGTATGAACCAGAGCAGATGTGGAATGAGGCTCCGCCTAGCATCTTTGGGATGGATCTAACATACCTTCTGAAAAACAGTATCTCAAAGACAGGAAGTGAAAATAGTGGAAACAAGCCAAATTGTCCATTCCTGCAGAGTACACTACATTATCTTTATTATTAAGGATGCAGTTCCAGTGTCTCTCTATTTTGACTTTTTCTGGACTTCAGAGAGGGATGGTTCTGCAGCACATTTTGGATATACTTCTGATCTTCATCCTGTTTTCTTGTACGATTGGATTGCTTCTATGTTTTGTTTAGTTTTGTTTTCAAAAGAAATGAAGTCATGAGGAATCTAAGTTGTAGATAAAATCCTAGGTCCCATGGCCAGGTACTTTAGACAAATGCCCTAGTATCTGAAATCTCAGAGCTTGTCTGTACTAGTGTTACATTGGAAGAGCAGAATGAGATATATGGAGTGGTTCTTTGATTGCAGGACTATTCCCAGGGGCTATCTGAGTTATCATTAATTTTTGTCAGTTCTGTAGCTGTTCTGACCTACCCTGTAAGCTAATGCAGACTACTGCTGGTCTTAGTATCTCTCTTTAGAACCAGCTTTATCTTCCAAGACTTTAATCAGTCTAGAAACATGCATCTTCTTCTGTGGTATTCCAGTCCCAAATATTGTGGAAAACCTACCTCTCTGTTTGCAGTAAAGCTTGATCCACCTTTGAACATCCAGAGCAACATTACTGCAAGCAAGTGTCAGATATGGTGGAGTGTGCCTTGGTACCTCGTTGAAATACTTCAATACGAGTTGCAGTACAAGGAGTACAGCGTGTCATGGGAGGTAACTAGATGAGCCACACACTCATGCTGACTTACACTTGGTGCAATGAATGGCCTTGCCACTCAGCTTAGGGTCTTCTGGAAGCTGACTGTTTTAAGCTAACCCTTCTGTCTTTCCATATCAAGACAGAAAGATTTTATGTAAAACATCAATAGTGAAGAACAATGCATCATCATCTTCTGAATCCTGCATTCAGAAGTCATTCATCATCATGTAGGCCCTATTCTTGCACCAAGAACAGAGGGTTTGGAGAAGGAAAAAAAAAGTTATTAAAAGACCATCCCTTTGCCCAGCCTTTTTAATAGATTTTTTTTGTAATGATTTGCAGTTTGCATTGAACAAGACACCACCCAGTTCACTACCACAAATAGAAATTGAAGGCACAGAGTTTCACAGTGGTGTCTCTTACATTGCACGAGTTCGCTGCAAAGTTTCTGAAAATGAGGATTCATACCATAGTCAATGGAGCGAGTGGAGCCAGACAACAGTGTTTCAAAGAGCAGGTACAAAGAATATTGTTTTTATCTTAATTCATGTCTTTTCATGTCCATACTAATTTTTAAAAATGAAAGGAGGAAAAAAATAAAAAAATAAAAAAAGGAAGATGCTTGGTAAAATGAAGCTTTTAAAAATCAGAATCAGTTTCCTTCAAGTTTTCTTAACCAAATTACTTTCCTTGAGGTCTTTAACTGCTTATTTCATTTGTATTGCTTAGTTATTTGGGGATCTATCCTAACATTAAGGCTTTTTATCTTTTTTTTTTTTTTCTTTCTGGTGTACCAGAAGTGTCTGAAAAGCTCTTTAGTTCCAGAACTTTGCAGTTCTTGTTCATTCCTCTGAGTTTTGGCACCCTGCTCTATTTATTTTGGAACTGCAAGCTTCCTTCAAGGTATGTTATAGTTCTTCTTTAAGTTTCTCTTGATCTTTATAACCTAAAGAGAGTAAACGAAGTGTCCTTATATCCATTTTGCTTCTTGTTTCTGCTGAGCAATCAGATTCTAACATGCTCAAAAGCTCTTTTGATGTTCTCAGGATATGACGTGATTCTTAGCTAATGATAATTAATGACCCACTTTTCAGTCATTAAGGAGACCAAAGTGCCTTCTTGGCACCCAAGCTCAGCTAAAGGTCGAGGCTGAGGGTCTCTTGGAGTTAAAGAAATTTAAACCTGTTGTGGGTTAACCCGGCCAGCAGCCAAGCACCACACAGCCATTTGCTCACCCTCCCCATCCCTGCCCTGGGGATGGAAGAGAGAATCAGAAAAAAAGTGAAACCTTGTGTGTTGAGATAAAGACAGTTTATTAGGACAGAAAATAAAGGAAAATAATAATAATGATAATAGTGTTATTAATAATAATTTGTACTAAACAAGTGATGCACAATGCAATTGCTCACCACCGACTGATGCCCAGGTTGTCCCTGAGCAGCAATCCCTCTTCCCACACCGCAGTCACCCATCCCATATAAATGTTCAGCATGATGCCACATGGTATGGAATATCCCTTTGGTCAGTTTGGGTCAGCTGTCCTGGTTCTGTCCCCTCCCAGTTCCTCATGTACCCCAAGCCTGCCCGCTGGCAGGACAGAGCGAGAAGCTGAAACATCCTTGGCTTGGTGTAAGCACTGGTCTGCAACAATTAAAACATCAGCATGTTATCATTATTATTCTTATTCAAAATCCAAAACACAGTACCATACCAGCTACTAGAAGGAAAATTAACTCTATCCTAGCCAAAACCAGGACAAAAAAAAACATGAGAAATTTTGAGTCTCATGTACATGTACATGTAGGTAACCTAAAGGTGGAAGCATACAGCAATCCATAAAGATGGTTAAACTAATATCAATGTTAAGCTATTTGTGACATACCTGCCAGTAGTCAGTATGTGAAATACCAATATAGGCAAACTACTCAGGTTCTGTGTTTTCTTGGTTCTGGGACCAAGTCATACAGAAAAAAAAAAAAAAAAAAAAAGTGTCTCTAAAACGTTGGTTCAACCATCCATCTCCATTTTGTGCTGGTATCACAAAAACCTTGACATACATTATTATGCTCCATATACATGCTGCTCTGAGGGAAACAAAATATATGATATTCATATGATAAAATGTTTGTAAAGGATAAACTCTAATGGATGGACTATAATATATGGCAGAATTTCTCTGTCTAAATTTAATGAAACTTGCATGCTCTAAAATACTGCTAGAAAAGGTGGTTTAGATCAAACAAGATGCTAAACAAATGCATAAACAGCTCAGTACATATAATGAGTAATAGACTAGTAATGAGTTGAATGCATTGAATATAGCATTCCTCAGAAAACTTTGAGAAGGCTGCGCTTTGGGTTAGGAATATTAAAAGAATGTCTGAGAGGCAGATAATTGCATACCCACAAGATGTCAGGAACCACATGAAATGAGATTCTACTGCAATCTTTCTATCAGAAGAGTCGGGCTTTCATTTAACCAGTGTGCTATATCATTGAGACAGAATACAGAACAATTGTCTGGTTTTTGATTTTAAAGTGTTGTTTTCTCACTTTAGGGCAAAAAGCCTCTCCTGCTTTAACATTCCCACACCAGCTGCTTTCTTTCAGCCACTCTATAATTTGCATAATGGGAATTTTAAGGTAAGAAATGTTTAGTTTCTTTCTTATGATCCTCAGTTTATGAGGGGAGGATTTTTTTTTCCCTAGGATTGATCATTCTAGGTCCTGAGCATTGTTATCATGTAACATGTTACCATGTTAACATGTAGGTCTGGTCTTCCTGGGACTTCACGGTTTCTCACTTAATTTCCTGCCTCCACATACTAACTGCACCACCAGAGCCACTGTCCATCTTCTCTCTCCTTAAAAATAAAACCCCTCCAGTAGCTTGCTCCTAATCCATCCATTCCCTGTACTGTTTTTCTATATCCAGAGGATCTTTCAACGTATTACCAGTAAGTGATGCTTTTCATATTTTTCAGACGGATAACACTGGTAACCAAGCACAGTATTCAGGGGTTACTTTGGTTTAACAAATCAGGGTTTCCTTTCACAGAGAACTGAGTATTTTGTCTGTTAAGTAGAAAAAGCCAAGGAATCACCAGTCTTTTTCTCAAGTGGCAGTTTAGTAGTTAATCAGCATTGCTGCCATCCTCTAGCATGTTCCTCTAGCATTCCCAATATCTTAAGTATGTTTGAATAGCGTAATTGAAAAAAAAAAAAAAAAAAAAAAAAAAAGTGAAAACAAAACAGATCCGTTTCACAGAAGAAGCAAAAACCAAGAAACATCATTAGTGCACTTGCATTCTCTCATCTTCCATCTTCTTGTACACTTGCTGAACACGAAAGGTGCATGCTGCCTTCACAAAACCAAAGGAATACAAGCAGCTTGCAGTATATATTCTGGAGGTGAAATCTTGAAAATTTCATGTTTCTTCAGAGCAGTTAAATGCTAGATTCTCTACCCTATTACTTAAATTTTGCCCATTAAATTTGCACTAAACTTCTGGATTGCTGTGCCAAAGCCATACAAAAAGAACAGTTATTCTGAAAATTCCACCTCTGAGCAAAATGTCCTGAACTTACTGATCCTTTCACTAGGACTGGGTTGGACCTAATGAAGCTTGGAATCAACTCAGAAGAGAAGAGGCAAGCAACTCAAACAAAGTAACTACAGATGGAGTTTCTGAGCTAAACACCCAGGAATTCATTTCCCAGATTTCCTTGAAACCTGTGGAAAGCACAAATCTTGTTGCTGCAGAAGAAATGCTTGCATCTGGTCCAAGCCAGCAGTATGTCCCCAGCAGATATGTAAGAGCAGAAGAGATGGAAGTCCAGCTGGCACTATTCTTAGCACAAAACCATGCTGATGATACAGTTGGCCTGAAAATTTCTGAAATAATTAAAGCCAACCTTGACAGATCTAGCATGGGAAGGAGTTGTCCTTCTCACTTACAGCATGGAAAGGGTGACTTCCTTATGCTTCTGGAATCTTTGGAGATGGCAAATGTGTCCTTCAGCAACAGTGACTATTGCACCTTGTGTGACAATGATACCACAGGAGGTTTGATTGCTGCTGAACTACTGAAGCTCTCTGATGGTGATGGTCTGGTCAAACATCAGAATGATCAGAATGGCCTTCCTTGAGGAATGCTGCCCACAAAGATCTTTTGCTGCCCTCTCATCTCACAATACTGTCTTTCCAAATGGCTTAAATGTTGTCTGTGCAGACAATTACAATCATGTATCATTCTTAACTAAATCTTTAATTTTTCTACTTCAAGAAAAGATTGTGACCCACTCCTCTACCCAGCAAATACTACCCCTGGCATGGCCAGGACTGACCACAGCAAAATCTGCCATCTCAGGAGACACATGACCATGCCTTTCCCCAAAGTAACCTCCTGGCAGCCACAGAAGTCCAGCAATCCTCTAGTCTAAGGATGCAGCAGCAGACCTGATATTTTTCCCTAGGAAGAACTGTTGTAATTGCATGCAAGATAATGCTTTCCAAACTTCATTGTGAGACAGCTGTTCTACTCTCAGCACGTAGTTCTTTCCTCACTGTAATTCAGATTAACTCAACATTTACTGTAGCCTGAAAACTAATGCCTGCTGGACTGAGAAGCAGCAATATTTGCAATGTACTGTATCATGATTTAAATCCATTTGTTATTTGAGAACTATGTATGACTCTTCATAAAACCATGATTTTTTTTTTTTTTTTGCTAAAGATGCTAATTTTGCTTCTTAATGTGGATTCTAAATAGATTCAAATGATTCATGATTTCATCAGAGTTTAGAATTGCACTATTTAAAAATAATTGGGCAGTGGGTCTTGATCTTCATTATCCTGAATAGCTGTAACTTTTTATTTTGCAGAAACTAAGCCCCATGTACTGCTTTGATTTTAACCTAAGTGTATTCCAAGGTTAGTTGGCTGGGATGATCTAAGGGAAAAAGGTGAAAAGCAAGAATAATACAACCAAGGTTTCATCATAAAACAGGCCAGGCCCACTACCTCTTCAGGGATTTTATTTTTTCTCCAGAATTGACTAGTCTTTTGCCTGTCTGCTTAGCAGGTACAGCCTTTCTGAGCTCAGTTTCTGGAGTTTTACTCTCTGCCTTAGAGACATAAAACCTTATATATGGTTGATTACCCACCAAGCAGATTCCTGGAGTCTTAGTCGCATCTCCTAAGTTTAAAGGTCTCAGCAGTTGTAGCAAGCATACAGAGAAGTGTACATGTACATCTATGCTAACTGGCACATGTATACCTACAGTTGTTCACATTCATTCACTCCTTCTCTTTGGGAATGAGTCACATGTTTCAGTTGACTATTAGCAGTGACTAGTTTTATCATTGCAAAGTAAGATTTCATTTATAAGTAAAAAAGTAGACTGACTAACTCTTCCCCAGAAAATATGTGCTAAGCCAGAGAACTATTGTGGGAAGTCTTCATCTGCAAGAAAAGCAGCAAAAGAATGAAGTGTCCACAGCCAGCTTGGGAGACGGCCACAGAAGGTGCCAGCAATGGTTTCTTTTCAGTGTGGTAAGCACAGGGATTTTCTGATATCTGAAAAATATATCCCTTTTCTGGTCCTTTGTGCTTTTTATCTTGTAAAGACAATATTCAAGGGTGCTTTTTATATTATACCACAATCTAATGGCAAGAAAAGAACCTGATCAGTTGCCATAATCTCCTATGCAGAAGAAAATAGGTAAACCAAGACCACATGCCTGCAGGATTTTGGTGATTCCCGAGCTTTTAGACCCCTTTTTAGACCAAGCTTTTAGTTTGGCTTGATGCAGCATTCCCAAGTTTCAAATCTTCAGAGTCAGAGGGATGTTTCCTAAAATTGTCAAATCAATTGTATCATAAATCTCTCATATCTAGACAGCCCTTGCATACAAATGTGTCTGCACAGAAAATGAAGCAGTTTCATGAAGTCTTGTTTACTTAAAAAGATATTCTAAATTAGTAATACATGCAAAAGGATAAAGGGAATAGTTATAATCAGATATGAGCATAAGGAGCAGCAGGTCTGGCTATGGAAGGGAGAACATAAAATTTAACAAGATAGAGAAGCAAAAGCAAATAGAGACTGAATGTAGTGTCTTTTTCTATCACCACAGGCCTCTTCAGACCAGCATAAGCCCTCATTTGAGGGGAGAATGTATGCTCTTTCACAGAGCCATCCACATTTTCACTTATGCATACATTCTTCTAGCCAATAAAATCACGAAAAATTAAAAATAGTCATTTTAATCTTCAGTAATTTAATCTAATCTACAGATCTGTTCCTGCTAGAGGCACTGCTGAAATTCTGAAGAGAGAAGCACTAATCAAGAACAGAGATCTAAACTATCAGTTTTAAAGCAAGAACTGTAGTATTTGATGACATACATATTTTTGTGCTGGTGATAGTATTTGGTAAAGAGGAGGGGTTGTTCTTTTTATGCTAGAAAAGGGAGTTAATACACAAGGGGGGAGGGGTGCTTTTTTGTTTTTAACAGCATGCAAACCAGGGATTAAGTTGCAACACAAAGCTACAACGCTTGGATTGCTTCTTCCTTGACATTCATGAATAGAGCAAGTTAATTGGCAAAATCTGAAAGCCCTGTGTTAAGCCTTATCGTTTTAGGGCTGTTGGACAGATTGCTTTGATCTACACACTTCTGATCTTCACTGCATATTGCAGTGAAGCACAGAAACTGCTGCAGCAATGTCAACGCTACACATTGTGTGTCCACAGTCCAGTATTATGCAGTACTTGCCTGTGTCGAGAAGCAGTATAGTTATATTAATTTGATACTGCAGACCCAAAACTATATGGCTTTCTGAGCCAAGCTGACTGATACGATGCCTAATACAGGCAGTGCCAGAGTTGCGCTCTCCAGACAGCTCTAAATAAAGCATCTGTTTAAAACAGAAATAGGGGCATTGGTGTGGACAACTCAAGACTTTTTCATAACATGCTTTCACATTCAAAAACAGACAATAGGTATCCTCAGAATGAGATTGAGAGTACTAGAGAAAAAAATTACAAATGCTTTCACATAAATCAATAGCATGCCTCACTTGGTTTCTGTGTGTAGAACTGGTTACCTCATCTTTGCAATGAGATCACAGGTTTTAGTAGCTTGCACAGTAGTTTCCCACAGCTATTGCAGTAGGAGGTGCAACAGTGCCAAACACATAGGTACTACAACATTTTGACTCCTACTACCAGTTTCTTCTTTTAAAAGATTGTATATGCTATGTAGAGACTGTTGAACCCTCACATCACTTTCTCTTACATTCATGCCCTAAAATCATGAGGAAATGGCCTCGAGTTGTACTAGGGGAGGTTTAGGTTAGATACCGGGAAGAGTTTCCTCACCAAGCATTGGAACAGGCTGCCCAGGGAAGTGGTGCGGTCCCCATCCCTGGTGGTATTTTAAGAGATGTGTGAACTGTCTGAACACTGAGGGACATAGTTTAGTGATGGGACTTGGCAGGTCAGGTTGATGATGGAAGATCTTTTCCCACCTAGATGATTCTGTGGTTTTATGCCTCTCATAACTTCTGATGTTTGTTATATTCAAAGTTTTCCTCCTACTGCAACAAGGTTGTTAGCATTTGCAAATTGTGTATTAAAAAATAATATATCTCTTTGGGTTTAATACCATACATGTGATTTTCACCTGTGCAGTCAGTTATGAAAATGCTTTCTGTAGCCACAAGATTCAGAACACTGATGGAATACATTTCTCTGTAAAGAAAATTGCTGTGTGCCATCTGTCTTAGCATCACGGCCTTAAGTGTACCAATAGACCTTGTCACCTGGGACCCCTACCCCACATCCTTGGCCCATCACCTGGAAGATCCATTTAGCTTTCATTTAGGTCTATGTCTGTCTCCAATTCTGTCTCCATGTCATTTCCTGGATGGCCTCTGGGCCTGGGATATAAGTACATTATATAATGGATGAAAGCTGTGGACTGATAATGTAGTTTATCTCCAGTCCTGTCTCGGAATCACAGCTGGATCCTGAAACCATGTTGTAGCCTCATTTCTAGCCCTACCTCCTAGAAGGACCTTGGACTTTTGTTAGAGCTTTGTCTGTAGGTCCACCTTCATCTCTACTGCTCCTGTGTTGGATCCTGGACCTGGTCCACCACCTCAACTTGTTTGGGAGTATCAGCAAACCCTGTTACCAGGCTCTGCCCACTTTGTTCAGACCAGGCAGGATTATGCTGCACTTTGTGCGGTGAGGGACTGCTGGTGCTGGGATCGCCCTATTTGCCCCACCTTGTGTTAGGGCAGCCTTGTCTTGTGCTGCTTCCTGACACTTTGTAATAATGCCTCGTCATACAGCATATTCTCCAACGTGACATTGCCCTCTGCTGGAAGATCACCGGTTTCACAGACTTCAAAGGTGTAAAGTAGAATCACAGAATAGTTTGGTTTGAAGGGGCCTTTAAAGATCATCGTGATCCAACACAACCGCCATGGGTAGGGACATAGTTCACTAGATTAGGCTGCTAAAACTAGAGTAGGCTTTTTCTAAGTTTTGAATCAGTTTAGATGTCATGTGACAGGTGAAGGTGAGCACCCTGTGCTGCAGAAGAATGTACTTGCCCTTGGTTCAGTTCTTGGAAAATTACAGATATTTCCTGAGGAATGCTGTTGAGGTCATACAGTCTTGAAGAGTAGGAAAATATTTGTAACTTAATTAGGGAAAAGCATAAGATCCTCTTATCAAATAAGGCTAGGCAGAAGAATGGTACTGTTATTATCAGTAGTAATAAATACTACGGTATCATGAAAATAAATTACTTCTGGGAAATACTGGACTATGGTAGGGAGACTAGGAAAAACTCTGCTAACTAGCAAAAAGCTTATTAATAGCTCTGATAGGGTATTGATACTGTAACAGTATCTGTGGTTATTGAGCATGATGCCACTCTGCTGGTTTTCAAATACGTGAATTCAAATAGATCCTTTGCATCTTTTTGTTTCACTAGCACAATATGGTTTGACTATGAAGATAATTAATATGATTCATTTTAACAAGATGATAGTAGCATATAAAGCATTTGACTTAAATCACTTAACAGGTTTGTCAAATTCTGCAGGGCTAGATGGAATGCACTGTAAAGTATTTTTGCAAAACAAACATCTTCAGGAAGATGTAAACTGGTTGTAAAGAATCCTGAAAAGAAAATACAGCCTGTAAGAAAAGCCAAGAATTTGGATAGTCTGAAAAAGAGAGGAGTGAAGGTATGAATATATATACAATATATGCACATATATGTATATTTAAAAAGGAATATTGTGATCTGTTGTCCTACATGTCCATGAAGCAAAAAATCACTATGCAAGAAAGTTGATTTACACTGCCTATTGTAAAAACCTTTCTAAAGTAGTTCACCACTAGGACACTGCAAGACTGCTGTCCTGCCCAACTGCCCCAGCCCTATTTGAGGCTAATTATCTGTACTTTGCAGATTCTGATGCGGTTCTGCAAAAAATATAGTCTTACCTTGCATTACCCTTTTGAGTAATGTCTTAAAATTCAATAATCCTTTGTCAAATTAAAATAGTTTGCTAGAAGGTGTCATTCACAAAGGCCCACCATTCTCAGTGTTTGTGATCCTAGTTCTTCACACTGGATCTGGCTGGCTTCTGTGAGTAAAGGACATTTTATGTACTCGTGAACACAGGTTGGCAAGGCAACCTGTTGAAATGTTTTATGCATACACGCCTACCTAAAAGAACAAGATCTTATTTGTTATACCATATAGCAGTTAAAGATGTTGATGTGTATTTGTTGGGTGTACTTATTACCAGGAATTAAAATTATTTACTTCCGAGACGGTGAAAGCCTTGTAATGAAAAGTGCACGTCAGATTCAGTGAATTCATACCCAAGGAGCTCGGCGCTTTTTTTTTTTTTTTCCCTCCAGAGAAGTCAGACTTTTAAGAACGCCTGCAGTGAAACTGTATCTGTTACACGTCTGGGCTCGTAACAGCAACGAGAACTCGACATCCTCACTGGAAGCTGGCGCCCCGAGGCACGGGCCGCTGCCCGGAGAGCGGCCGGCACGAGACGCGCTGCTGGACGCGCACAACGAGGCAGCGGCCGCCCCGCGGCGCAGGACGCGGCCCGGCGGCACCGCCCCCCCCTGGCACCGCCCCCTCCTGGCGCCGCCTTCCCGCCGCGGGGAGAGCCCGCATGCGCCCTTCGGCCGGAAGCTGGGGAGGCTTCCTGGCAGGAAGCGGGCCGGAGGGAAAGCCCAGCGTCTGCGCATGCCCGCATCGGCAGCGGCCGCTGAGGCTGATGGGGGACGCTCCGTCCGGGCTCGCGAGTGAGTAGCAGGCGGCTCGACCAACGGCTCGGCGGGCCACGCGGAAGTCCTGCCCGCGGCGGGGGGAGTATTGTTGTGGGTGACGTCACGGGCGGAGGATGCGAGAGCCCCATTGGCTCGGGCCGGGCGGCCGTGCGCTCGGCTCTTAAAGGGCGACGGGAGCGCGGGCCGCGCCGGCCGGCCGGGCGGGGCCCATGGCGAGCACCAGCAGCCACCTGGTGAGTGCGCGGCGCCGGCGCCGAGGCCGCTCGGGGCTGCCGGCGGCCGCGGCGCGCAGGGGGAGCTGGAGGAAGGCGCGGGCCCGAGGCCCGGGCGCCGGGCCCGGTCCGGCCGTGAGGGGGCGGGCCGCCCGGGGCCCGCACGCTGCCGGGGCTTCCGCGGGCGGCCCCCTCGCCCGCCGCCCGCTCGGGCGCAGAGGGCGGCTGGGCGAGCGCTGCCGTCCGTGGGGCCGGCCCCGGCGCTGCCGCCGCCGCTTCTCCTTCCGCCTCTCGCCTCCCGGGGGTGCTGCGGGCCGCGCGGAGGGGGGCCCGCTCTCCTCCTCCTGCCCCCGGCGCTGGCAGGGGCTTGCGAGCGCGGCGACAGGTGCCCGGGCTCGTCCCGGCTGCGGCAGGAAGCGGGGCCGAGGCCGAGGAGCCGCCCCGCGGCCTCTGGCGGAGCGCCGCTCCCCGTTCCGGGTACGGGGCACCGCCGTGTCTCTGCCGGGTCGCCCTCCCCCAGCAGGGCCCGTGCTGCTACGTTAGGGAGCCGCCTCTATACCCCGTAACCGACTAATTCTGTAGTGGGAAGAAACGTGCGGGAGAGGCTCCGAGGGTAACGGTGGAATGCCCTTTCAAACAGTTGTTTACACTCGTCCGAGAGGGTAAAACTCTTCCATTTTGTGAACGCTGATTAATATAGTACGGGATTGCGGCTGATACACAGAAGGGGAAATGGTAGAGCTTAACTTGCGTTGTAAATTACATAGTGTAGTTAATGTAGAAATTACCTTATGACAACTTTGGGATTTTCTTTTACTTTTTTATACAGGAATAGCTACCAGTATTCAGTAGTGGTAGCATAACTAACTGACAATGATACTTTACATATCCATGTTTGGAAGTAACTAAGAAGGGTCTTCTGCATACAGACTGATACATCTGTATAGATTCCTGAAGCCTTGTTTTATGATGTGCTCTACTCTTAATGTTTCGTGATTTTTTAAAAAATTTTTTTTATGGTATTAAGGTAATTGTATTTATTGAATGAAAATGGGAGTTAGTATGTAGAATAGCCCTACAGGGTAGGACATGGAATATAGCATCAAGGATTAAGAAATAAACCCACGTTTGATTATGAAATGAATTAGTTTTGCTTTTCTGCTACTTGATAGAGCTCCATATGGCTGCTTACTGGCATCAGAGAACACTTCTGTTTACCTTCTGAACCCACTTGAAGAGGAAGTGTGCTTCCTTTTGTGCTTCTGTCCTTGCTCATCACTTCTTTCTGTTTTTTTTTTTCCCTCTCCAAATAGTTCTGTTTCTGTTCTTCTATATGCAATTCAGATCTCTGAGAGAGATGGATGGAGAGGGATAGAGAGCAAATGAAGAACGAAGTTGATAATTACTTTTTGTTAAAAAGAAAATATTTATTCAGACTAACTTAGTTTCAATTCTTTCTCTTCCATCCCATTTAACATTTCCCTGTTCAGGTGAGTGTACTGGCTGGTGTTAGCAGACAGGTGGTTTGATTCAGCTAGCCTTTTTGTAAATCAGATTATATCAAATTTGGGAAATACATTAACTGCATCTTGCTGAGTTTCAGAAATAATATTACTGTGATGGAATTACTGACATCAATGGATTCTGTGATTATTTTACTAGGAATGCAAAAGACTTGGGAGTAAAATGGAAAAAAAAAAAAAAAGAAAAAAGAAATTTTCTTTTAATTTGCTTTAAAAGAAATAACTTTAACAGTCCTCTGCCTGAACAGTTAACTTTTGTATTCATATATGTGGGGTCAGTTACCTAAAATGTTCTTCTGAAGCAGTACTAAGGAGAGAATTGCATTTTTAACAGGAAACATTTTTAGTGCTGCTATAGTTGAAGTTGCCAGTGTGGTCTTAGTTATTTGCTGCTAATGCCTTCATTGTAAGGATATTGAGTCTTATATCACCATGTTCCCTTCCTCTTGAAATGAAGAGTCTGGAAGAACAGTTCTTTACACCTTTAACTTCAACAATGTCTTAAGTGGAAGGTTTAACTGCTCTAGTAGTTATTACAAGGCAGGTTCCATTCTGCTAATGTTTCTGTCCTGATAAAAACCTGTAGTATAGTCATGGATGATATGTCTGAGCAAAACTGTTAATGTTTTGTCCCCCCCCACCCCCTCCAAATTTCTCATGGAACAAATATAAACTGTTTTTCAAAGAACTGGGTACTTTATAGAGTAAGTTCTGCATCTACATGAGGAATTGCAGTAGGCTGATAAGAATTATGCTTGTAGTTATTAATAGGTGTAAAACTTTCAGACAAGATAATTTATTTTTCCTATACACCTATCTACTTAGTATTCTATTCTCTTGGGTTTCAGTGTAAGGCTATGACTTACTTTTATCACTCATGCATAGGCTTTTAATTGGCCTAAGTTTTCTGCAAATCTCTTAGCAAAGCCATCTTCAGGAATAGCAAATCAGAGAAACAGATGTTGAGAACTAAAGATGATGCTCAAAGGCAAAAAAAAAAAAATGCTTAAGATGAGCAATTTTATATGCATTCCTGTTTCTAAAACAAGTCCTGGTAGTTAGTGGAAAGGAGATAATTTGGAGGGTTATCTAGATGTAATCATAGAATGTTTTGGGTTGGAAGGGATGGACCTTAGAGATCATCCAGTTCTGAGCCCCCTACCATGGGCAGGGATGCCTCCCAGTAGACAAGGTTGCTCAAAGCCCCATCCACCTGGCCTTGAACACCTCCAGGGATGGAGCATCCACACCTTCTCTGGGCAACTCGTTTCAGTGCTTCACTACCATCATAGTAAAGAATTTTCTCTCTAATATAAACCTACATTCTTTTAGTTTAAAGCCATTACCCCTTGTTCTATCACTACACTCCCTGACAGGGAGTCCCTCCCCAGCTTTCCTGTAGGAACCCTTTAGGTAATGGAAGACCACTATGAAGTCTCCATGGAGCCTTCTCCATGCTGAACAACCCCAACTCTCTCAGTCTGTCTTCATAGGAAAGATGCTCTAGCCCCTTGATCATTTTTATGACCCTCTTCAGGACTCATTCTAATGCTTCCATGACAATTTTCAACTAAATAGCGAATCCAGTATGTGGGTAGGTGTGGGATTTTTATTTTTAAAGCAAATCTTTGTTTGGGTAACTTGGTCTATTACTTACAATGCTAGGAGTAATGTCTGTTCCATATAGCTCTTGTAACTATACAAGTAGACATTCTGAGACACCCTTGCAGAATTGGGCTCATTATGCTTCTCTAAAGCTGATTAGTTGAAAGGATGCGTTGCAGGTAGAACTTGGAAAGAGATGCTGGTAACTGAAGTATTTGCAGGATTTTTGTACAAAAGGCATGAAACCAGGAGTGCAGTCACTTGTTTTAGACTGAAAAAAGTAATAAAATGGCAAAGTAATAAAATAGGTTTGATCTATGAAGACATAAAATGTTTTTGAAACACATGTTTTTCAACAATGAACTTGTATCTTTTTCTACATTTTTTTCTAAAAAAGCTGTAGAATTAGCACGTTTATGGCATCAGATAAAGTATGCGAGTGAGAAATTACTTTTCAGTATGGAAAGAGAAAAATGTGATTCAGAAAAGTGCTTGGAAGATTAAAATCCTTCTCTAAGTTCCTCGTATTGGAGCTTTCTGAAGAATTTGTCCAAAACCAAGGAACTACTGTTTCTGGTATTTCAAATGGGATTTATATATATATATATATATATATATATTTTTTTTTTCTTTTGCAGGTGGTTAAGTTAGATTATGTAATGAAAAGGGGAGGGGAGATTAATTTTCTCCTTCCACACTTCCCTTTTTGACACCTTGCATTTAAGCTTATGGAAAGTTAATAAGGTCTGCAAAAGAACTGGATGTAAACATTGAAGTTGAGACTTCCTCTTCTGCTTTAAAAAAGTTTTTTCACTTAGCAAATATTCTGTAATGCTTTATAGCAAAAAACAAAACAAACAAACAAAACCCACACATGCAAGGGTAAACTTGCTTGGCACTTCTGATAAGAAAGTATTAAGTTTGATGTTCAGTTCTCTGGTAATTCTGAAGGAATTCATTACAGTTCGTGATTGTGCCGGCAAACCCTTCTACACAGTGTCTACATACTGCCACCTCTTTTGCTGCTCCTCTGCTCTTCACTCTAGACTATTGTCTCTGCCTCCTAAGTCCTCACACTGCTAGCAAGGAATCTAGTATAGGAAGTTCTTTTGTGTTTATTAGCTGCACAACACCTAGCACTGTTGTGCTTTATCGGGTTGTGCTTTAACTGATCATGTAGAATGTGATTGAGACCATTGCTGTTACAGATGGCTTTTGTTGTCTTGTGAGCTGGGATGGATCTGTTTGCATGAAATGAATTCTTTAAGTCTTGTTTACGTTTGTAGCTATTGGGGCCATAGGCTGACTTCAGGTTCTTAGAAATCTTTGTGGTTTCCTGTTTCTGATCTCTTTTGAGGCTCCGGGTTTGGGGGGGGGGGGGGGTTGGAGTGGATGGCCTTAAATAGTGTGCCTGTTAAGGTGCTTGGTACTTGAGTGCTTTGCTTAGAAGTAGAGGAGGTTAGAGGGTAACTGGATGGTATGCAGATTCTTTCAAATCCTCTCATTAGCTTTTATCCTTACCTGAATATGGAATTCGAATCCGGTAAATTAGTGGCAGGAAATACCACGGTATGTGTTGTCAAATTTAGAAAAAGGTATTTGCATTAACTGCAGTGTTTGGGGCAACAGTGCTCTTTACATAATAAGTTAATTCCTGTAGAAACAAAGTCAGTCTCGTAGATAACATAGGTTTATTCTCTAACAAAAAATCAAACAATCTAACAAAGTAGAGGTGTTCTTTTTGCTTACAAATATTTGTGTCTATCAGCTAAATTATATTTTTTGCTCTTACTACATGAATGTGATTTCCTCGTTACTGACTTACAGATAAAGTGCATTCTAGATCTCTAGAAAGTAGAGATGCGATGGTAGGTGGCCAGATCAATCATGAAG